GAGCGGGTGACAATTCCACATGTATATGTTGGCCATCATTATTGGTTCAAGAAAACGAAACACCAGATAATAGCCGTACCTCGCTGTCATCGAAACGCTTCGCGCCGCTTTCCACGAAGTTCGTTCTTTTTGGGCGCTCCTTGCCACCGCAGCAATCGCCAGTAATCGCGGCGATGGTGAGAAGCTCGTCGACTCGCCGTCAGAAGACCCGAGGAAATCATCTAGTGCAGCTGCGAGGCGTGTTCGTTTTTGCAAGATCGCCATCTCGATAGTCTGCGCGTCTGCTACTCCCGCCATCTTCTCGATTCCCGCTCCTGGCCGCAATGCCTGATGGGACTGCCCCCCGGCGCACCGCCGATTTTCTTGGTGCGCGTTGGGGCAACGAAAAGCCGCACCGGGAGGGTGCGCTTCGTTGATCGAGGACGTACGGTGCGCACCGGTGCACGTGATCGAAGATGAAGGGGCGCACCTCGGTGCCCCGGCAGGCCGGCGCAGCCGTAGCCTTGGCTATTGTAACGCGCTCCGGGCGCCCGAGCGAGCGAAGAAGCGAGAAAAGAGCGACCGATGAGCGAAAAAGAAAGAGAAAAGTAGGGTGACGTCACGGCGACGTCAGATATGCTGATCACCCCCTCCGGCAACTAAGACGGGTAGAGCCGTTAACATCCATGCTCCTTCGGGGCGCTCTTTCTGCTCTTTCTGCGCTCAAGCGTACGGTTCTTGTTTCCGCCGCCTCAAAACATGGCGCTGCAATCGCCGCCTCTACCGGGCCGCCCCTACTTGCCCCTAGATGGCGCAAGTTGTCCTGTCTCGTTCCGGGCGTCCGGCTTGCGCCCGCTCGCTACCCCCCCCCCCCCCCCCCCCCCCGGCCCCCGGTTCGCTTTCTTGATTTAATTTCTCGTCGATTTCATTCTCGTCTTCTGGGGCTTTTTTTTATATCTTTGTTCATAAACCACTGTAGCGCTACTTCAGAGAAGCTGCTCCTCAAGTGGGTAGGAGGCAAGGAGCACACACATACTTTTCATACATTCTTTATTATTTACACAGATCTCATACATAAAATGTAAGACAAATACAGATAATAAAATTTACGGAACAATAGAACAGATAGCACGAGATGCAAAAAAAGAGCACAATGAAATAAATATACATTTATAGAAGACATCGCACCACCACAGTTTTGATCAGCAGAAACTTCAATGTTTCGTAGACAAAAAAAAAATTTTTTTGTTACTCAGCTGATAGATGATTTGTTTTACGGTTTCTGTGCTTTCCTATTAGCTACAGACATTTTCAAATGAGGTTTTAAATTCACCAGGGTTCATAGCAGCTGGAGAACTTGTAGCCGATTGCTGGACAGAGATCTCCGACTGTTCTGTCATGAAAGCACTAAGATTCTTCATCACATTATCCTTGTATATCAGATTGAGAATGCACGCCAGAAAGCACTCAAGCTTGCCCAAAAAAGTAAGGCAAGGGTCTGTGAGCAAAAGGAGAACACCAAAAATGCCAGTGTCGTCCTGTGCGCGTAGCACGTGGTACGGTTCGATCTGCCTGCAAATTTCAGGTGCAACGTCGCTCATACGTAAGTAAAAACGAAAACAAACGTGTGCTAAGTGCTGTGTTTACGGGGTTTCTGCCGCACGAGACTGAAAATCGCAACCAGGATTGCACCACATGGAACGGGCTTGGAACGAAAGCGACGAAAAACGAAACTTTACCTCTCGCTTCGGAACATCTTTCGACAAGACTTTCGACTTGTTTGAGTTCCCGCACCATTTCGCAGAACAGTAGCGCCAAGGTATCCTCTTCCGAGAGCACCAGAACTTTCGAAGTCAAATTAGCGCGGACCGAGCGAACACCACGTTTTCCGCAGAACACTCGGAGCTGACGATCACGCTCAGCGGCTGTCGGAGACCGTTGCTGCCGTTGCTGCCGTTGCACCGGTGGCACCGGTTGCGCCGTTGCCGTTGCCATGGCCACCGGCCCGGCGGCAAAGTCGATCGTAACGCCATATTTTGAGGCGGTGGAAACAAGAACCCTACGCTTGAGCGCAGTAAGAGCGCCCCGAGGGAACATGGATGTTAACGGCTGTACCCGTCCTAGTTGCCGGAGGGGGTGATCAACATATTTCACGTCATCGTGACGTCATCCTGACTCTTGGCGGCCTCTACCGAGGTTTCCTTGAACGCCGCTGGCTGCGTGAGCCTGGCCCCGGTGCGCACCGGTGCGGATGATCGAGGATGCTATAAAACATTCAGTTGGGCAACTCGCCGTCGAAACCTGGGCCGCTGGCGTCCACCGAGACTGAGCTAAATACGACAACAGCGCCACTCTTTATCATTTGTCTGTACTGAGGTCACTTTGAGCTTTTAGAAAGCATGTTTTTGTGTAAAAACCAACGGAAAAGACTCTTTTTCTATGAAATTTTTTGAAGTTTAGTACAAAATGAAGGGCGCTTGATGTTTTTCTAATCTTTAGTTCGCAAGGTTTTGCGGAACACATTGTTTTTATACAACCATGCCTCAGCGGTGCTTTCAGGTAGCGCGTCCCGACCTCGGTGCGTTTTAACTTCGATAGTAATTCGCGGCGCGTCCGCTGGGGAGACGGGGGTGGCCGGGGTGGCACCCCTGTAACCTCTTCCGCTGTATCTGTTTCGGCTCCAAAATGGCCGAATAAAGCCAAAATAGAAGTAACGTGCACTTCCAGTGGCCGCTGCGGAAGAAATGGCGGCGTTGTGCTTGCCATTAGCTCGGTTCTGGACAAGGAGGTTAGAAGTACTAGGAGGGGGCACGTTGCAATATTGGTGAAGCCTAGTCATAAAAAGTTTAAACGATTTTGTGCCCAGCGTGACCGCAGATCTCTCTGGCGATTGGTGCGCGTGACATGTCACGTGTGAGTTGGATGGTTGATTATAGAAGGACTCCTTGCAGGCCTGCGCGCGCTCCGTCCGGTAGGTTTTATCAGATCGAGGGCTAGACTGTGGTGTATTCTAGTAGCCTATAGTAAGACGACGGCTAGCTACGGTCACGTGATGTGGTCACGTTGGCATGGTAAGTGAGGAGAGTAAGGAGGAAAATGAGAAAGAGGCGAGGCGTCAAGGGAGCATGGCTTGTGGAGGCTACGCGGCCGACGTCATGCCCTCTCCTACCCTTCTATTCTCCATGGTTCTGGACACTGATCTCAATGACAATTGCTGGATCGCGCTTGCCGCTCCCGCAAGTGAAGCCACCGGGCGTCACTCGCTTGGGATACGATTTGCCGTTTTTGCTAGCCTTTGCTGCGGTTTTCCAGCGTGCTGACGACACGTTTTCTACTCGTTTGTCGTCATTCGCCGAAGAAGTTTTTTGAAGACTCTGTATTGTTGAGACTTTCCGTTGTGAACACGTGGAAAATTTTACGAAAGTGCAGTGTCGCAGGAAAAAGGCACAACGCGTCGAAAGGAAGGGCTGGCGGCGTGTTCAAAGCATCCTTGGCACGCCGAAGTGCCGTGTCTCTGTGCCTTCGCGCGCTTGCCAACAGGAAATGACTCAGCATGGGGTATTTTGAGCCAGTAAACGATGCCGTTGCGGTATGACTTCGTCACAGCAACAAGCTGTGCCCGAAAGTGCAAGAAAACAGACTCTGGTCAGTTTTGTTACTTCAAGCACTTTTAGAGCGCCGGTGCAAATGAAAATTAGATTTTGTTTTCAAAATGAAAAAGGCAGCAACATAACTGTTATGCACTTTGTCTATATTGATGTACAGAGCTCCATAAATTGCATTTCACATTTTTGACTCAATGTGTGCTCTGCCTTATGCTGTTCAATGGTATAGTGAATATATTCAGTTTAGTGAACTTTCAGTTAAGTGAACTATTTCCTCGGGTTCCTTGAAGTTCGCTCAAGCGAGAGTATAACCTAGGGAAAATCTAGACAGCACTGACTCTAATGCAGCAAAGGGGTGCGCAAGAACCAGGAGATATTTTGGGGGCATAAATAAAACATCTCTCTCTCTCTCTTTACTCAAATTCTAGCTAAAACAACAAGTGGTAAAGGGGCTCATCTGAGCACACAGGAAGCCGTACGGCCCGCCAACTGAACGACCAAGTTGCGCCCACGTGTCCCCACATCTCTTCGCCGCATTAGAGTCAATGACATCGAGGTTCTCCCTAGATGGGCATTAAATACTCAAGACTTTCTCCTCCACAGACTCGTCGTTTGTGAAAGTTATTTGTAATGACCGAGCAATGTTTCATGTCTTCGGAAAGGAGTTAATTGAGGTCGAAATCTTCACTTCCCAACCAAGTGAAGATTTGGCTTTGTACGGGATTTATACGTCTTTCGAGTTTGTCTTAAGCCGTCGTTAGCGTCCCTACCGCAATCACCAACAGGCGATGTGGGTAGTGGTCATGTTGGATGCATTCGAGATGGAGGCAGCGGGGATGGCTGGAAGAAACCGTGGGGGCACCCAAGGGGGACCGGGGAAGATTGTGGGGTTCCAAGTGTTTAAGAGGGAAAGGCTATTACATATTTCTTAATCGTTAGGGGCTGCGGCCAATTTCTCTCGTTGCTGGGGAAACCGTGCCAGGTTTTCCCAGCAACGGGATTAACCGGGCTGCTGCGCTGCAGGGTTGAAGTATCTCAGTTCGGCCGCGAGTGGAGCAAAATCTCGCAGACATCGAATCTCGCTCGTGCCGGCTCGGATTCTTACGGCACCGTGCCTCCCCACAATTGTCACAGGGCAACGAACGAGAACTGGGCGAGCCACACCTGCACCTAGATGCAGTTCAAGGCAGACCACCTTTCCACCTTGGAAACACCTTGAAGCTGCACCTGCGTCCCTGGATAAAATTCTTTCTTCCTAGGCTCGTTCGTTTCAGCGCTGCACCGCCATTGGCTCCCAGGAACTGCACAACGTGCTGATCAAACCATCGGCACATTTGACGCTACAGGTAAGACAAACGCGCCGAGGGGTTTTAAACGTGCGCGCTTCTGTCCAGATTTGAATGAACAAGACTGTGGTTGAAGGAGAACACATCCATTTAATAGACGGGATAAAAGGCATTAAAACGGCGCTTACTGTACATCTTACGCTCTAAAGGATGGAAGAAACAAAAGGAAATGAACACATAGATACTAAAAAGCCAGTCCCCAGTCAGCAATAAATAGTGAAGCGAAGCACGCTGTACAGCGGGCAGTGTCCGAGCGTGCAGAGTCACTGCTGTCCCTCCAGGAGGCGGACCACCCTGGTGGCCATGTCCTCGCTCTCCCGAACCATCCGGGCGTGCCGTGCCCTCGCCGTCTCTAGGGGCTCCTCCGGGTCCTGGGGAAGGAAGCCCCACTCAGTGCATGCAGAAGGCGTGCCAGAAGTCACCGTAGGGAAGGCTCGCACGCGCGTGCAAGGAAAGTGTTCACCCAAAAGGACGCATCAAACAAATGACATTCAGAATGCGACTGCAGTCTGCCACTCCCGCAACATAGGCGAATCAGTTTGTGCCAAAAACATTCATTTTTCAAGCATGCTATGCTATATGGAACAATCCTGAAGGAGAATAAAGCGTACAATAAATTCCTCGTAACTCTGCAGCGAGTCTTGGCTAATTCCGGCTGCACAGTACGGTCGTAGCTCTCTGCTGTTACAAACACAAAGATGGCTATGCACCCGGAATGCAACGCTTCCACGCTGCACTCGAATACGCCACACTAACGCAAAGGCTCCCATTCGTTTTCGCACTCGATTGATTCGTTAAGAAAGGACTTCTACAACAAAATGTTTTGCCAATCCCACGGAATTGGTCGTAAGGCAGTGACTATTTCGACGTCCAACGTCAAGATATCTAGAAAGTTACTTTGATGTCTTCCGCATCACTTCCGTAAACCGCCAAAATAGCGACTTTATTATTCCGACGTCTCCCGTCGATACAGCCGTTGCAGTGGTAGCCGTTTCGTGCTTTTGTTCTGTTTCGTTTCTGATGGTGTTGTGTTGATGTGTTGACTGCGTGTCTAATGGTGGGTCTAATGGAGAATTCCATAGGTCGTTTTAGAGCGCGACGAGATCAGTAGACCAGATCAGAGATGGAGCAAGCAATCCGATTGGAGTTGCTCCGCCTCCGTATCCCCAGTGGAATGTGACCACCTTTTGTGATCGGCGGGTGCCTTCCAGTCATCACCTTCCCAGGAATTCCCTTTCCGCGGACCCGGATCCCGAAGTGCACGTTTTCGCAGTTACAGCGCTAACACGTGTTCAACGCTTGAGCTAAGTTAATCGTGAGGTGAAAGATGCGCGTCGATAAGTGATGTGCATCAGCGTAGCCCGCTTGCATCTATATTGGAATACTCTTGAACGGTGGCCTGTCTCGATTTTCGGCCTCTTCTGCGGAGGTTCGAAAAGACCGTCGAATTCATGAGGGACATAAAAGCAGTCCTCGTCGTCGCTGCTACTTAGGTTGAGCCGCTGCTGGTGGAGGAGCTGCTCGAGCAAACTTGACCACGAACACACTTCAAGCAGCAGCAACAGTAAACGGGCAGCACTTCGCGAGCGGCCATTACGAATTTTTTCGAGGCAAGGTGCCCGGCGAGAAAGGAAGTCCTGTGTGCGCGCCGAGGTCCGGCTAGGCTGGCTTCTGGTCAAATCTACCGAAATCGGCGGAGCGACTTTCCTCTGATCCGGATCGAGATCTGGAGTGCGAGCGGATCCAAAATGACGAGTGGAACACGTCCGTCCTGATCCCGATCGACCAGTGAAATAAGCACGCTCCAAAACAACCAGCGGAATTCGCCATAAAAGGTTTCGGTCCTCTAGTTGGCAGTGGAAGTATTTTATTCAGTGTGTGTATGGGCCTGTCGCGACAGTTGATCCTTTCGGATGTTGCACACCTGGCGGCGATGTTTTGAGCCTGCATGTCCATTCGGCACATGTCTCACTTAAAATTCTGAATCTACAAGAAAGGAGAGCTGGATATCCCTCTGTTTTGCCTGCACCTAGCAAATGGAAGTGCCTACGCTACGTAACACAGAAATTTGGCACTCTTTCTGCACTTCCATATCGTGCGAGCGTGTCTTCGTACGGTTGCAGCCTCGCTTCGCATCTGGCCCGTTTTTAAATTGGTTTAGCAAGTGAATTCTTCAGTTTAGATTTTCTTTTTGGTTTTAGTATAACAAGTGGGTTAACGACAAAACGACTGGAATGTTAAAAATAAAAGGTTGTGAATGCAAACAGTGCCTCCTTGATGTTTCGTGACCGGTGCGGACGAACAAAGGTTCTGGCGTGGTTGTACCAGATACGCGCATTTTCCACCAATCAAGTGCAAATTTTATGACACGACATACAGCTTTTTTGTATGAATAAAACGCGCACAATAAATCGTGAAAAGCAATTGGCGCCGCATTCTGTAATGTTGGGCACAACCGAGCAAATGTTACGTGCGGCCCAATAGCTGATGTACTTTGAAAAGTTTTGCATTCCCCATCACTTAACATAAAAACAGAAGCCGACTGTGTGATATTAGTTTTCGGAAAATGCGCGTTGAATTGCGATGCTGCCTACGAGCAAGATGATATTGGTTGGGCCGTCACTTTCTATCACTTCCCAATCCAAACTCTGAAGCTACGAAGTTCTAAGTTTGGGATGTTAGATTAAGAAAAAACATCTTGGACGGGGGACGTCAGATTAATTTAGAAAATATTTTCCCAACTTCAGGAAGCGGCGTCGCGGACGTCCAAATAATATAAAAAAATTATTTTCAGCACGAACGTTGAAATAGTCGACTTCGTCGTAAAGGCTTTTGACTGTAGACGCTGGGCACGGCGGTATTAACGCAATAAAATCCGCGCACTCTCTATGACATGGTCGTTTTGTCAAAATTATTGCGCCCATGCGTGGAAACAAGGGTGTAAAACCCTAGGAAACACCAGTGATCCGTAACGCCAAAGTCCCACTGCTCGTATATCGTAGAGCGTTTGATGCAAACCCTAACAAAATTAACTGTGGACAGGCCCCATGCACGTTGGCTTTATACATTTGTGTGCTTCAAACGTGCATCGAGACCGTTTTTGTTTGACCACTCTAACAGGACCGATGTACAAGGAACAATACTCGCGTCCGACAATATCCGCAGACCGCCTTTCGTACAACGGTTTAGCGGCGCGACAGCAGCTGAAGAGTGCACCCGACAGACGCCAGTGACGAGATTCTGAGGAGAAACGGAAGAGCTCACGGGTCTCGCCCCGAGGTCGGGGCAGAGGTCAACTCCGCCGCCGTCGAAGCCCCCGTAGTCCAGGATGGCCCTGGTGCGTGCCAGCCACTCCTTGGGGCCCCAGCGGGAGAGGTCCGCCGGCAGACGGAAGGCCGAACCCCGAGACGTCCCTGCACGCGGGCAGCGGGGTCAGGAACGCAGCCCCGGGAGCCCGGGTCTGAAGCGTTAAAGCATCCCCAAAGGCGAACTCTCGACTCGCGCCCGATTGGCTCGTAAAAGTGCCATCCCGACGGTGGCGTGGCGGCAGTAACGGACGTGCAGACGCCCATTCTGCAGCCAGTCGGTTGACAGAAACCGAAGCGGACGGCACGCGGCATCTGCCGCAATTTCGTTGCTGCTTGGGACCGCTTTGGATGCGTGGCCGGGGCGGGACGGTACACGCTGGCTGCACACGACTTCCAAGCGCTGCTCATGTTTCGAACAGTCTCCTCCGTTCCCGGCTACGCTCGTGGACAGCGACGACGACCGGTCATTGAACTCGCAGAAAGACCGTCCATGTTCCAAGCACGGTGCAAGCTACTTTTTAGGCGAGGACGTGTGGCACAGCAAACGTGGCGCGATCGACCAGATAGTCCCGTGGGCGTGAGCCCGAGTAACCAATGCCGACGGCGTAATCAAGAAAAAAAGAAGTGTTTCGTTGCCACGGCCCGCGTGCTTTTCGCTTGGTGCGTCTGCTTCGACCTCGACGGACATCGGTTCGGCCGCTGTGCCAGAGATTTTTCCCCCTCACAGCGTTCATAAAGCCGTTCTTGGAACTGGTGAGGCACGAAACTAGAGTCAACGACGAAGCTGTGTCTTAGCAACACGCGTAGCACAGATGCCGTGGCACTGCACACTCGAAAACGACTTTACAAACAAGCCTGTCTTTTACGTAGAGCCAGGAGAAACCGGGAATCCGACAAGCTTCCACTGGCCGCTTATCGAGGAGTCGTCTGGTGGCACTACTTGCAATAAGATGACTGTCTGGCAGCTGCAACGCGTGCGGTGTCCACAGCTACACGTACATATTTTGCATTGTGGCTCCGACCAAGAAGGGCCGCGAGACGGTCGCGACAAAGACTGGATGGGCACAAATCGTCGAGACTCTGCCGCGAGGAGCGACGAACCTGCGGGCGCTTTCGACTGTTTAAGCCAAGAACCGAGCGGCAAAGAGTCGCCAATCGCAGTTTTGGAACCGCAACGAGGCCGAAGGGCCAGAGGGGCGAGCGCTTGCCCTTCGAATAGCGGGCGGGTTCGAGCGGGATAAACGAAGGTATGGAATACCTTGCTGAGCTCGAAGGGTGCGCAACTGGTAACCACGAGGGGAATGCAACCGTAACGACGAACGGGGCACTGTGTAACTATGAACTATGGTAGAAAAAAAGTGGTAAGAGACTGGGAAAGCAGCCAACGTGCTTAGCCCGATTCTTGGAAATGCAGTCCCGCGCACATAATGAGAACCTTGCACGACCAAATGCACAACTAGTGGTCATCGCGGCGCTTTCTGGCGCGTTGCGAAAAAAACCGCCTCTCGGCTGAGGCGAAACGAGCGCGACGTTCCGAGCGGTTACGGCGAATCAGCGAAGGCTCCTCGATCGCGATACATTTATTCCACACACCCCAGAACCCGAAACTACGTACAATTTTTGGTTCCCAAACGCGGACATTCTGACGAGGCAGAGTACCACAAAACGTTCCCTGCATTCGACGAACAAAAAATGCGAAGATTTGTAGCAAAGTGCTCCCACAGAGGTCCAGTTTTCTACCGAGTTGCTGCTATGGCATTGCCCTGTGCCTGCTGGAAAGACCAGAACCACTCGCTCGTCTCTGGTAACAATGCGAAATGCTCAGGGAACGTGCCAGAAGGCCGCTGCAGTGACACCACTGTGTCCGGAAAAGAACAAAGTTTGTCCGATAAAAGCATCGGTTGCAGACGTATATCAAACTAGAAAAGCTTACAGCCTTTTCACTCTGGTTAAGGAGGAAGAGCAGCGGAGCTGTAGCTTCTGTTCTCGGCGGCGGCTTTCCAGGCGAGCAATTTGCTCTCCTTTCGCAAGGGAATCTGAAGCGCTCGACGCAGTGCAACATTAGGCGATAGCGGCCTCGCGGCGGTTGCGGAACCATTCGCGCTGCTGCACACATCGCCGCTCGTTCCGCACCCGTTCATCCCGTTCTTCCTCTGAAGAAAGGTTGCAACCATCTATGCGCGACGGCAGCAACTAGTTCTCTGGTTGCTGCCATTGCTCATAGATGGCGGTAGCTGTCCGGTGTCATTTTTTTTGCTGGTGGACACGATCTGGAGAACCTAGGCCTTAAAAGTTCAGCTATCAAACACCATACACTGTCCACTAGGAGAACGGAGAGAAGGGTTTAATGTTCGCTACGTACCGAGCACGACGGCGAAGTGAGATTAGACACAAACTCAAATTGGGATCGCCCACTATCTTGCATCGAAAGCCACTGACAGCTTGCACTTCGTTTCGAAATCTCAAAATGCTCCGCTGTCGTATGCAACACGACGACGATTAGTGGACAAAGTAGCACAAAGACGAGCATGCTGGAGGCCGTGAGACTTCCCTACCCCTTCGTACGTCGGCGAGATGTTCTCACCAAAATGTTGCTCGATTGTGAACTCGTAAAAGGGTAAAAAAGACCCGATCAGTCGATTAGGCGCAAAGTGTGGTGCCATGTCCAATCAGTATCTGAGAATGCTCTCTCTGACCGGAATCAAACCCCGTGCGAGGCAAGGCGAGCTAGAATCGGTAGAAACCATGTTGACGGCTCCTCGCAGGACCTTGGCGGGGCTCACCTCGGCGGCGGTTGGAGTCCCCCTGGGGCAAGGGCAGGACGTGGGCCACGTTGGAGCCGGGCGGCCGTCCGTCCAGCTCCGCCAGCCGGGCTCGCACCAGGTCCCGCAGCCGAGAGGGCCGGTGGCGCAGCACCCCCTCCAGGTCGAAGTCCGGGAAGCGCAGCCGCAGCCGGTGCAGCTCCTGCACCCCCTGCCACACGCACAGCCGGCTGCAGACAAGCCTCGCCCAGGACGAATGCTGCGCTGCTCCCACCAGCGTGTCTACCCCCCGGAAGACGAGGCCTTTCCCCATCAAACGACGTCACTCGCGAATTCCCGCAGACGCCTAGACAGTGTGTCTGCCGCTTTATGGCGTCTTTCGTGAATCTTTGGCGCGTCTGCCATTCGAAGAAAGAGGAACCGATCCGAGGTTCCTACGTTTCCGTCCGGCAACGTCTCGCCCGCGTCCCGCCACAGCTCTTCCAGATCTCGGCGGTGCTGCGGAGGTGGCATGCATCCGTTTGACTGCGGCTCGTTCCGCAACCGAACGGTCGACAAGCTCGCGTCCGCTTCCCTTTCGCCGCAAATCTAAGACAGATTGTCAGAATTGTGATGTCCAATGGCGTAACGTACCTTCTACCACCACAGTGCAATCCACTTATAACCATCGTGAGAAAACCCGAAAAATTAAGTCGTTAAAACCGATTGTCGTTGTACCTGTACTACAAAGTGATCATTATAAGCGGTACACCGTTATAAGTGAATTGCACTGTACTTAGTCGCCTTTTCGAGACCCCTTTTGACGTGCTTGTGACACGAGGCAGCAAACTTTGGCCGACAATGCATCCCGTAAGCCACACGATGGGACGACACGTTCAACGGACGTCCGACCGAGGCTCGACCCAGCTGCCGCTCTGAGGCGTGGGGCCGATTTTCTAAACAACTAAGTCGAACCTGGATATATCGAATTCAAAAAAGATTGTAAAATAGTTTGATATATCAATAATTTGATACAGAAAAATATGTTAACTTAAGCTCGAGTTAAAATTTCCTGGCGTCTCTGCTAATACCGAAGGTCGCGGCAAACGGGAGCTTACCGAACAGAGCCACTAAATACAGCAAAGCATAGTTGGCGGAGACCACTAACACGCACAGCTGGCTGGGACCACCCACACAGCATAAACAAAAAAACACAAATTATTAAAAAAAAGATGAGAGAAATGGAAAAGCGAGACAAAAAAAGTCATAAAAGAAAGTTAAGCGAGCAACAAAAAAAAAAGCTCATTAAATTCAAGCAGAAAAGAAAAAGGCAGAAAAAAAAAAGGGCAAACCAATAACGGCAAAAGGAAAAGTTAAACGAAGGTAAGGCGTTTGAAGTGCGATTACACAACTGTTGTCGACACTCAACTTATTGAAGACTTTTTCTTTATTTTATTTTGGGGCTGGGAGTCGCGCAGCACCAGCAGTGTTCGGAGAAAGGGCGCAGGCTACCATTCCAACAGCAAGTACTCCCTGCTCTCCCTAAATGCGCAAGCGCGTGCCTTCCTCTTGCTTCTGCCATTCTCCCCTTTTTGCTTTTCTTACAGCTCATTGTTTTTCTTTCTTCACATCTGCTCTTTCGCTGCACATGTTCCTGCATGTATGCTAGCTTGGTGGTCTGCCAGCCCCGCAACACAAGCGATGTGCTCGCCACCGGTGCAATTCGATTGCAGGAAAACCAACGGGCGGCCGGGCTTCGCTATATCGAGTGTCCCCCACCCTGGGAGTTCGATACAAAAAGACAACGCTCCTATAGTATTACGCGTGATTTTCAAAAGGGTGTTTTGGACAGTTTGATATAAACAAAAATACAAAATACCCGAGTGCGATATAACTGCGCTCGACTGTATTCAAACTGGCGCGCCATGAAGATGACTCTCTCACGCGCAAAGACGTTCCGAAAGCCGATACTCCTCGCAGAACAGACAGCGCAGACTTGACGGTACGAACTATTGGATAGAACGTTTCGCTTCCCCACACATTCCGTTACGCTCTAGAAATTGTCGGTTGCACTTTGACAACCTGCAGGGAGTTTGCGCGCTCGAGCCGCTCTTTGGCATTTGAAACCGCGCTCCGCAGCACAAAGAGACACCCTCTTCGAATGCACGAGCCACGAGGGTACTTTTGGCGGACTGCGTTGGCGGTCAGGTGCGCAATGCGACAGCTCCGTGTCCATGCTGCAGACTGGTTGGTGGCATGCGTTTAGTAACAAGTCCCAATCAAAACGTGCGAGACATTTATTCCCTAGAAACTGACAAGCATACAGAGTAGTCTAATAACATTACGCTCGAGAAAGAAGCGCACTGTTATTCCACATTACTTCCGTGGAAAGTCGTATTGTTTAGAAATTTATTAAAAGCACGTCATTCTCTACCGTGCAAAGAGCCACATTCCAATCTGCTTAGTAGGTTTGTCGGCAACGAGCAACCGACGAGCCGCACAAATCCGCGGGAACGACGATGGACGACTAACAAAGTCATTCGGTCGCGCAAAATATCCGAATCCGTCAAGCACTATGTGCGCAGTTGTCACAGTCAAACACTTTTCTATGGCACGTCAATAATGCCACAAATCTAAAAAGTTTAAAAAGCAAATTTTAACGAGATAAAAAAATGAGTAAAAGGTTAATTTTTTTAAAATCAGCGGCAGAAGGTGTTTGGCGACGCAGGCGTAAATATTCGACAGAATGACGTTTGCTTCGATCTGGCGGTTACAATTCGAAAGGGTATCGTTAAAAAGATATGTGCGCTTGCCTAAAAGCAGTAATACGCAAAAAACTGCGTTCAAAGAAAAAAAAAAAAACTCTTTAGAGATCAATTAAAAGCATTCTTTTACGAGGCGAAGACCGGCTCCACCCCGAGATGACGGCAGGAGACATTTTTGAAGGGCAGGACAAAGCACAGGGAGCAGAGTAGCACAGGCAGTCGGACGGTCCTCCCGGCGGTTGTCCAGCAAGCGTGCCGGTGGGGCCCACGGGCACTCGGGGCTTAGAAGCAGGGCAGGGGGGGGCATACCTCGTCCAGCTGCCCCTCCGTGTCCGCCTTGTGCACGGCGTTCTTGAACTCCTGCTGCACCGCATTGTCCTGCCAGGGGAAAAGACCGCCTTCCCTGAGAACGCGGGAGGCGAAAGAGGAGGGGAACCTCCTGCTCCCGAGACCGACGAGGCCGCAGAGACACGGGCCGGTGTCACCGAGAACGGTTGTGTGAAACGTGCAGTCCATGACTCGCCGGGACGTGGCCCACAAGGAACCGGGGGCACAGGGCACTTCCCGTCGCTTGAGATACGGGCTGCGGGGAGCATCCCAGTGATGCGATTGGCCTAAGCCGTTTCGGAGCACCTTTCGGAGCAGCCAAAACAGTGTTTTGGAGCAGCAAAAGTGGCCTTTGGAGCAGCAAAAACACTGTTTTGAAGCAGAAGAAGTGGCTTTTGGAGCAGCCAAAACAGTGTTTCGGAGCAGAAAAAGTGTTTCTTGGAGCAGTTATTCTTATAAAAATAAAAATATTCCTTTTAACTGCTGGACAAACGAAGGGTGCTTTGCTCGCTGCAATAAACAAATTACGGCCAAGTTAGACCACCAGGGAATCTTTCAACATGTAACTGAAATGCCAATGACATGACAGATTTTGCAATGCCTCAATTAAATGATACATATATATGTAGCCGTCATAAATAAATATGAATCAAACTGCACATATTTAAAATTTATTTGAAAATGACCAGCTTAGTAGTAAATATCACAGCATTAGGTTGACCAGTTATAAAATATGTGGAAGCAGTCTTAGGCTGATGAAACGCGTAACTACTGCAGTGCAATGCGAAATTGTACACAAGACAAAGGTGCGTTACGACTAGAGGGTACTTTTCTTTTTGCTTTTCGAAACTTTCAGCAAGGCTGCTGCAAGCCTCGCTTTGCCTTTGGCTAGTAATGAATGTCCACTTGCAATGCCTCCAAAAAACATTGAGACATCCCACAAGAGTACACATACCTTGAGCCAATGCCAAGCAATTCTGAAAAACCGCTCGCCACCGTTTTACTGGATCACGACGTGCCAGATTTTTGTCAAAAGTAAGCAAACGTAAAACAATGGCTTGCAAGCGTCCCAGAAGGTGCTTCTGTCAAGTGTCATGCATTCATGTTCGCATGCACATGAGGGCAACCTCCGCAAGCTTGCAGCTGCACGTGCTTCGACGCGCGAGCGGAGATGGCTGTTCGATCGAAACTAAAACCCCGACTCTCCGCTCCGTCACCAACAGGCTCTCAAAATTGTATGCAAAATGTAAATGTCCAGCATATATACGAAAAAGAATGGTCTAGCGGCACGCGCTTGCAAGGCCGGCTAAACACACAGAAGCTAAACACACCGGAAAAAAGAACCTGAGCGCATTGATGCATGACATCGCGAGCCATGGGGTCAAAAAGTACTTGGAGCGCTTTGTGCAACGGCTGAACTCCAGACAAACAAGCGCACTGTGCAGGTTCAGCGTGCAGACATCGCATTCTTTGCTTTAGGTCACTTCTCTTCAACTTTCCTTTGCGGCAGATTTTTTACGTACCGGGCTCCCTCTCTAAAGAAAGTCCACCGAGAAAAACCTAGGTAACCAATACTTCGACACAGCAGTCATTGAGTTAAAAAAAGATTTTTGTAGTAGAGTACGATTTAAACAAGAACAAGAATGGTGATGAACATGCGGCGGTCTTTACGTTACAGTTTAGAAGACGCCATACCTTCAGTGACGTGGGGACGGCAACACTCGAGTTCGCACAACCACGGCGACTGGCAGACAGGGACCAAATATAGTTTTCCCACGGCCTTTGATTTCAGGAGCGAGTGCTTCAGCTCATAAAGTAACTCGCGCCGTGCAAAAACGTGGTTTCGTTTCACAGCATGACGGCATGGCTGGTACCCGGCACGCTGGCGTCGGAGCGTACACACAAGCCCGCATCTACAGTTTAAAAAATTTTAAAAAGCTGGCGAGACAAGACCCACGAGACGACGAGAGTGCGAAATGAGAGACGGCAAAAAAAAAAAAACACTGGAGTCAATGACAATTGCTGGATCGTGCTTCCCCACTAGTTTGCTGCAGCGCGAGTGAAGCCACTGGATGGCAACCTTGCTGGGATACGACTTGCAGTTTTGCCAGCCTTTTGCTGCGGATTTCCACCGTGCTGTAGACACGTTTTCTACTCGTTCGTCGTCATTCGCCGAAGAAGTTTTTTTAAGACTCAGTGCGCCATTGAGACTCGCCGTTGTGAACACGTGGAAAATTTTACAAAAGCGCAGTACCGCAGGAAAAAGGCACAACTCGTTGAAAGCAAGTTTCGCTGGGCTGGCAGCGTATTCAAAGCTTCCTTGGCACGTGTCTCTGTACCGAGTCTCTGTACCTTCGCATGCTTGGATACCGACCAAGAATCGACGCCGTGTGAATGTGTTTTGGGAGTGCAATGTGCGTTGGCCGTATGCGCCTCTGGATCAGCGTCTTACTTTACTCCGACGACTGTATACTTGCGGCACTCGCGGTCCAGAAACAAGCTTATTCCAGCGTCCAGTAGCGACGCAAGTGGGGGGGAAGGTACGTCTTTTTTTCGTCCTTAGGCGATTTATAGAATACTGCACAAAACAGCTCCTCATCACTGATCAGTGCTGGCTCATTATCAACCTACTTAATTGCACTTGACGTTTGAGCGCGGCTCGCCTAATTGTAATTGGTCAACAGATTGCACACGACCGTATGGGCCGCGCTTCAAAGATTTTCATTCTAGATGTCTTGTACTTTTGCTTTCAAAAACCCTCCTTGCTCCACAGTTTTGCTCTATTCGTGCTCCCATGTGATCCATTAGAGTAGATTTGGAACATAGCCATGGGTAATAGTGCATAAAAGCAACTGTACAGATTGCTTTCTCCCCTTTATTGATAGCAACTCACCGGAACATCTGGACGATCCAGAACTCTTTGGCCGATATATATATAAATGATCTAAAGGCATCTACGCGCGACACTTCGGTGTGGCGTCGATTCTTGATTGGTATCCAAGCGTGCAAAGGCACAGAGACACGGCACTTCAGCGTGCCAAGGAAGCTTTGAAAACGCCGCCAGACTGGCGAAACTTGCTTTTGACGAGTTGTGCCTTTTTCCTGCGACACAGCCGCTTTCGTAAAATTTTCCACGTGTCCACAACAGCAAGTCTCAACAGTACAGTCTTAAAAAAACTTCTTCGGCGAATGACGACGAAACGAGTAGAAAACGTGTTTACAGCACGCTGGAAAACCGCAGCAAAAAGCTGGCAAAATTGCAAATCATATCCCAGCCAGGTTGTGTCCGGTGACTTCACTTGCGGGAGTGGGAAGCGCGATCCAGCAATTGTCAGTAAGATCAGTGGGAAAAACCATGCAAGACCGGATGGACGATTGATGCAGAGTACTTTCTGTCGGGCGGCCGTTTCTGCCACCTAGCTCACGCATGCTCAATTACGGCACTCAGTTTAGTTTCGGTTTTGAAATGCGACCGAAATTGGTCCTTTGGCGCAGGCTTGGCACAGATCACCCATATTTCGGCAAAATGTAGCAGCATGTAGCAGGGATAGGCCCTTGGAGCAGTTTGGCGCAGCTGGTGCAGTTTGGCGCAATTGGCTCAGTAATGGCATCACTGGTATCCCGCGACTCTAGCGCTAGAAATGGAGTGCACCGGAATAATCCAATGTCGCCGATTCATTTCCTCTCGAAATATGGCTGCTCCTATAAGATATTTTATATGTTTGTTTTCATTTGCCTCGCATTTTGTTTAAATTTTTGCTTACCAGTTCTTTTTCGCGTTATTCACCCGTACGACAATTCTGCTCCTAGGCTGCAAGCGCGAGCTCTTCGCTCGTGAACGCGCATCGGGTGCACAAATTGTCGCGAGGTAGGAGCAATCGACAAATATAAAACAACGAGCTCGGAATCCTCGCCTTTGGGAAATACTGCCATTAAAGTAGAAGTATTTTCTGAGACAGCTTTTATGGAAATCGTCAGAAAAGCAAGAACTGTCGTATAAACAAACCAAAGCTAAAAATGGGCAAACCTACGAGTTTTGCCCATCTTTACCATTGGACCTTGTGCGGAGAGCGCAAGGTCCCTTCCCTCTGAATTGTCTCAACCATGCGGGAACCAATACAAACTTCCACGTCACGGAAACGGATACCGCCGATTCCAGAAGCAGCAGACTCGTGCATCATGGTGCAACAAATGTGGAGGAAGCCGCTACAGACTCGCTCGCACACGTGCCTGTACTGTAGATTGCGCGGCTGATATTTGATGTTTGCAGGGGATTTTACGGTAAAGTTCGAGCAAACTTGACAACCAATCAAATATGCGAAGGTCTTAAAAGCCCACTCCTCTCCGGTTGCGATGAGAGGGCCGGCTCGGGTTTCCTCCCGGTTGGGGAAGCTGGCACCGACCTTGTTGCAGGACTCGTCCCCCGGCGTGCTGCGCTGCGTGGCGGCCAGCTCCGCACTCTTGCGCGCGTGCAGCTTGATCATCTTGGCCACCGTGTGCACCAGGGCAGAGTCCTCGTGGCCCGCCACCAGCTCCGCGTGCCGCAGCAGCTGCAGGCGGGGGCACCCGTCACCCCCCCGAAGCCCCTCGACGAGCCACACACACCCTGTCCCCCGACCGCACTACGGGCGCCGCCCGCAACCGGGCGGAGCAATCGGCGACGGCCCCGCTTCCTGACCGCACCCATAGAGCGTCCATTACCCTGTCCGCTGTACACGGAGGCCCACTTCAAGAGTACCGCACGCAGTGCCTCCCCACGTGTAGTTTGAACGACAGTTTCGGTTTGTGGTTTTCATTCTCTTTCCATGTGGCAGCGATATTTAAGTGCAGCATTACTGATAGCAGCGTGGGTCTCATAGTGAAGCCAGTTCAGTGGATTTCACTTCCGATGACCCGTGCTTCACCACATTAAGAAAATGCTTAGCCCAATGGCGTGTCAGTTATGAGGGTTGAGTTGATGCTGATCAGTACAAAAACCTTTTCGAGCCAGAACTCTAGGTTTTGCGGAGCTGTTTGTTGCCGAAATAGAAAACATGTATATTTTAGTGTTTCTTTCTCACACTTTTCTTGTTTTTGTATTGAGGAATCGCCATATTTATCAGGTTTGGAGCATTCTTTAAAAGAAAATTGGGTTTGACAAATTATATTTTGCGTTAGATTTCAAGTCTGCTTTGGTTTTTGGTTCATTCAAAAGGCAACTTAGCTCAACTTTTATGTATGGCATCAAACTGTAAACCTTCTAATAGTTTCCCCTGAAAAAAAAAAAAAGTAACCAAAGTCTTAAAATGGGCATTTTTCTCATGGTCAATGTGACACCCTCCCAGCTTTGGATTGACTGTGGTGGGATGAAGCCGCCGCTGCAGCCCATCGTAAAGGTAAACAAAGTACAGTGTAGACCGCATATAACGTATGTCGCGGGAGTCACGAAAATCCGCACTATAAGCGGTACCACACTATAACCAAAACATCAATTTTTCAGGCCAAAATACATGCCATGAGACAACTTACACCTGTGAAAAGAATTTATTTTATGTTAGATGAAAAATAAAGCTTAGTTTGAGGAAAGTCTTTATTTCACCTGACTAGTACAGTTCTGTCTCAAGTGTGTTACACATTTTGAAAGAAATGAGCAGCTTTTGCCTGGCGCAGCCTTTTAACGGCGTCGCGGGTTGCGGACGGACGTCGAGAGCGTTCAGGATTGCTAACCCTAATCACTTTTCTCCGGAGATGAAAACGCGTGAAAATTCGCAACCTTCACACGGTACGCGCCAGTAATACCTTCAACTTGAGCACAGGCATGAAATGCTCAAAATAAGAAATCCGGGCGATGTTCGAAAACACAAATGCTTAGAAAGCACCACTGTAGTCGAAGTAAACAAACACGACGACACGACCGTCTCTGCCGTCTTGAGAGCGCCGCGGCGCCGCCACGACATCGCCGCACGAGTAGGTGGATCTTCCCTTCTAGTACGTGCTGGGTTATCATAGCGACACACAACGAAAATTCACAGTCAAGGATAGCGCTTTTACGCGGAACGATGAGATGAACGCCGTCTACGACGACGATCACAACCGACGCCGTGTTTGCGGATAGGAGCAGCCGGCCCGCGACCGGCATGTAACGCGAGCAACACTTCTCCTCGACCTGCGATTGGTCTGTCGCTGCGGTTGTTTGTTTCCAACGCAGCGGAGGGACGCACGCACGTGAACGACACATGCGTGCGTCCCTCCGTCGCTAGGGCAACTGAAGCCTTTCGCTTCTTCCCGCTTCTTCGAGCAACTCGGCGACTCGGCTCTGGAGCAACTGCCACGCAAGTGCCGCTTGCTGCTCGCGCCGTCAGCGCCGTTATCTAGTGTCGCACAGGGAAGCGCGCTCGCTGCTCCGGTCGTCGGCGCGGCCGGCGGGCTGTGCCAGAAACCGCACTATAACCGGTATTTCCCTTCGCGCGCCTGCATTCTAAGCGGTATGTAATTACATGGATTACATGGAGTTCTATGGGAGGCGAACCGGTGGTTTAAAAAAACCGCGTTATACCCGGTCCTGCACTATAAGCGGTTACGTTGTAAGTGGTCTATACTGTATAGACCGACACGCGGAGCGGCTCTGTTTACCAACACGGCCGGAAGGCCGCGCATGCGCGGTAGCTATGTGGGCAAAAGCAGCCCGGCTGTCCGTGTTTTCGCCATTGCGCTCTATGGCGTGCGCTCGTTGTTGACGTTGTAGGGACGCTTGTATCTTTATTTGTGCGTCGTATTTCCTCATAACGTATGTCGTATGCTATGCCCGACTATTTGAGCTCGTTACCCGAGCCTGAACGGTAGCGGTATCGAAACAAACTGTGCGTGGACGGCGTTGCCTACGAGGATCCGTACGCCGTAAACAAGGCCTGCTGGACTTCCGACGTAAAGTTGCTGCCACGGAAGTTGACGGCTCAGGTCGTCGTTTATTTAGTTTTTTCGCCAAGCCAGTTCACGGCCGAAGCGGTGCAGGCGTACACGTCTCTCGAGGTCTACGATTACATCGAGTCGGTTTCCGCACTGCCGGCGGTATCAGCAGACTGTGGGTCGGCGGAAGTGTGTGTATTCATTAATTGATTAAATACACAGAGCGTCTTCAAGTCAAGGTATGGTATTTTTCATAACCTCATGACCACAAGGCATTGCAACCAGTAAAGGTTTGTCCGTTCTGCAGTCTTGGCGGTAACAGGTTACAAGTAACGGCGTTACCAGGAACGCGTTACTTTTTTCAGTAACGTAGTAACCTACTCGTTACGTTTTCGACACAGTAACGGGTAATGTACTTATGTTACTATTTCAAGTAACGTAGTTACGTTAGTCGTTACTACTTCCCAAGTCTTAAAGAAATTACACTTCAATTGTTTCCGTGTTTTAGGCGTCAAGCCATGTTTTCTTTGCGTTTTTTCTCGTAAGTATTTAGGTGAAACCGCGAAAAGAGATAAAGTAATTATGTTCAGTTTCTGCATGAACATAATGTTTCTTGATATATTACCTGCATCGTCAAAACCGTAAAATGTGTGAAATCATAATTTAAAAAAAGTAACGCAGAAGTAACGTGCCTTACTTTTTATCGGTAGCGGCAACGCGTCCTTTTATTTTTAGATAACGTAGCTCAGTAACGCGTACCTTTTATTTGCAAGTAACGAGTAACGTATTTCGTTACTTGTTGTTTTTTTTTGGTAACGCCAACAACACTGCCGTTCTGTCGTTGATCCCCTACTGCTCGGTAGCACGGGCGTAGCGAGCCTCCGACGAGCGCTTGGGGGGTGCCCGGGTGCGTTGTGCGCGAACACCGTGGAAACAAAATCCGGGTGGTCTCGATCAGACAACGGCTTCCCTGCACATATGCAAGCCTCGGGACGGAGATTGAAATGGAAGCCGCACTTGCCTCCAAGAAAGTGTTTGCCGCACAAACGGTCGTTCGCGCGAGGCGACCATTCTTTTCGATCCACGGATATTTTCCACCTTCTATGCCTTTCAGAGTCTGCCGGGAACTTGTGGAAGCTCACTCCGCTGCTTTTCTTGTACATTTCGGTGCAATTAACGGCAACACAGCTTCGCGGCATGCTGAAATGCTATGACGCCCATGCGAAACGTGCGCGCTTTTGCCCACACCCCCCGGCTCCGGCGCGATCGCAGCGCCGCCGCAGCTCCGTGACGTCAAGCCCGCGTGTCGGTGTATAGCTCAGAAACCCCACTTTGTCTTCGAGCGAGGAAGTTACTCTGTAAAAACTGTTTCAGAGGGCGAGCTGCACATTTCACAAACAGCTTCAGCATCTATCGGGTTCACTGCGTCGAGTGTTTGTCTGGACTATTTATTTTGCAGGGTGTGTGCTGCAACGCGAGAATTTCGTGGGGAGAAGTGGATTACCAGCTGGGAGGAGTTTTTTGAGAGCACCGACTTTGATACTTCTGCGAAGGCCGACGTCGGAACGTTTTTCGGGTCTGCGAATTTATTCTGCCGATACAGCCAGACATGTGTTGGTATTCGTGTAAAATATTGCACCAAAACTGTTTTGACTCACTACTGCAATACATTCTATCATTAGGATTCACTAACACCTCATACAAGTATAAAACAAATAAAAAATTGTCAGCCTTTCCACTCTGGTGAAGAAGGAGAGAAGCTGTACTATGGTGGGAATGCAGCAATGGCTGGCTGCAAGTCGGCAAGCCAGAGTGCAAAGGCTGGAAAGGTTGCCGTCATCTATCAGCGACGGCAGCAACCAAACAACCAGCATGCCGGTTGTCTGGTTGCCGCCGTCGCTCATTGATGGCGGTAGCTGTACGGAGTGTTGTGTCAACATTTATTTGCTGGCGGACACAATCTTGGGGAAAGTAGCGCTTAACAGCTTCGCCCAGAAAACATTGGCAGAACACCTTAAATTTTTTACAGCTGTCATTTGTGGGCTTTACTAAACTGTTAATGTCAATAACTGATTGGTTCCGGCTGGGAAGTGTGCACCGTCCAACTGATACTTTGTAGATAAAGCGATTGTGCTCGTAACATATGCGAGCCCAGTCACTTTGCCTACCAAAATTCGTAACAATGAAGAACTGCTCATACACTGGCTAAACATGTTCTCCCAACCAAAACAACAAACATTTAAATCAATATAAAGGTTTTATGCACGCAAAACAAGGGCATACCGATTTCACGGTACTCATGGTGCATCTCGCAGGTCAATGCAGAGGACGGCACAGGTGAGTGATCTATCTTACACTTAATCCCCATTTATACAAAATCTTGCACATTGCACGTGTTACTTCCCAAGACCTCAAACTCTCGCCTGCACTTTGCATGCGTTACCAGTTTTCGTTAGGTACCGATATCTTCCAGGATATCTCCAATGTCGGTGTCGCCACTGGAGTAGAATGGTCAACCTTTTCTCCTTTTTTGTGACCAAACATCACGTGACCACACACTGTTTACAAATCGGCTTGCTTTCAATTTTCGAGGTTATTTATACTTTCTTCTTCGATTCCCCGTAATTGGCCCCATATATCATTTTCTGGTTGGCGGGGGACTCCTTTAGCTGCTGCATCCTGGGGCTGGAAAAGCCGGCATAAGCTCCCAGCTTGTCCAGTCCCAAGGAGGGAATAGCCTCTCTCTGGTCGGGGAGGGGCTCACCCGGTGCCCCTCGAGGGCGGCCAGCTTGTAGAGCAGGGTGCGCACGGTGCGCAGGGGGGTGTCCGAGGGCCGGCCCTCCCAGAAGGGGGCCGGGTAGGCCCGCAGGAACAGGTGCACGTCCAGCAGCACCAGGTCCAGGTCCAGCTGCGGGGCACACTGCTCCAGGCGCCCCATCAGCTTCCACAGGCACTGCAGCACCCCATCGTGGTCATTGTACAGGAGAAGGCTACTCTCCCTGGATTTGGGGAAAGTGGCCCCATTGCCCTTCCTGCCCGCTAGCGGGACACTACTTATATTATCACGAATGAAGGTGACGAGAAGCCGAACAGTGAACTGAAGGACAAAGGTCCAATTGGCGAACCTGTGCCAAACAAAAATAAGTAACAGAAGAGTGTCGAGGCAGCAGAAAAGCGGGCGGCGATTTGGCGGCAAAACAGAGAGCGCGAGCGAGACTGACTCGACAAGGTCGCTGGCAGCTGCTTATTTACCGTGCGTCACTATCTCGAAAGTTCGGCAAAGAAAGTTAGAGCGTCGTGCGCTCGGGGCGAGGATGAACTGGCACTTTCGAGAACAAGAAAGCAGAGGGGAAGCTACGTCTGGTGCGAGAATGAACACCAATCCTCTAGAAGTCCGTGACCGAGCGTTTCTTTATCGACCCTGCGGGCGGCAATATGTGTGAGAGGTAACTGGCTGATCGGTCTTTGTTGCTGCAGCAATCACCCTTTCTGTCCTTTCCAATCTTAAAGAGGGTTGTACTGAACTGCCAAGATGGCTATGGGGTGGTACGGAAAGCCTATAAGCGTCTGATGCAACACCCAAAGGAGTGTTATGTATGGGAACATTGTGCAAGAAAAACTGACCTCACTGTTACAACATACTGCTGTGTGGCTATGAAGGCTGGTTCACGCAGCACCGTTTTCTCGCGTATTCCGACGTTACGTATAAGAGACCAAAACATTTGTGTCTCGAATGTGGCGTGCCAGGCGATCTTGAACTGGTAGCCACGCTCAGTAGGAAGCAGAGATGTCTTGGCGACTCGTGGCTTAAGCGGACGTAAGCTTCCGTAAAGTAACGCAAGAAAACGAGGCTGTCTGAAGCAGCCTTAAACCAGAGAGCAATCATTCTAATGTCGTTAGGTAGCTACTGCTCTCGACTCAATGCCTCCCTCGTTTGGAACACGCCCCTTCACTCCCCTCCAACAAAGGCGCAGTGTGAAACTGAGCTTTGTACGAGCAGTTCGAACAAACTGCTCGTAGAAAGCTCCGTTAAAATACTGCTACGTCCCTGTTGTGTATACCGTGCAATACAAATCACCTTTCCAAAGCAGTCAATTTATGGTTCTGCGCCAACGCGTGCGTCACACTCGCCAGAAAATTAGTTCTACCCTCATCCAACGCTCCGATTCCCCTTTTGCTCGCTCGAACGTAGACGCCACCTACGACTCGAGCTTTCGTAGTCTACCCACATTTTAGCAAGAATGAACTTGCCTCGGCAGTTTGCCCCACGATCTAGTGAAATCCAACTCGCTTCAACACTTTGCCACGGAGAGGCACGTGCTCGTTAAGTCATGCCGACGGCGCAACAAGCATTTCCTCCAATGCGGCGTAGTATGGCAGAGAACCGTACGGCCGCCAGTTCAACTTTCGGGACACTCTAAAGTGCGAGGCGGGGGCCTTTTAACGATTTGGCAGGGATCCGCAATTAACGATTCCACAGGGGAGGTCTCACCTTGATGACCAGGTCGAGGTACTTCTCGGTGATGCTCATGCTGGCCACGCAGTCGTGCAGGTGCTTGATCAGGGCCCTGGGGAGAGCGGGGGTCAGGGAGGAAGGAGGAGAGGAGGCCCCGGCAATTACCCCAGCACGCAGGTCGGCTGGCCGTTGCGGATGATGTTCAGGGTGAGCAGGTTGGTGGCCCTGAGCACCTGGGGGCCCTGTCCCAGCTGGCCCACCCGCCGGTCGATCAGCACCGCCAGCAGCTGGGGCACCAGGTCCCGCAGGATGTCCCGGCTCACCCGCCGCCCCAGGGGCCTTCCGTCAAACACCTGCGGGGGCGAGGTGTGCGGTGACAGGCACCGGCAGAGAGAATCGTCATGGCGCCATCTTTGGGTGCTTGAACTCCGCCTTGATGGGCCGCAACGGGCGTCGCCGGCCGCCCATACTGGCACCGCGAACGTACCGGTGTTCCTTTCGAAGGTGGCGCGACACTCCGACGAAATCGCCTGGCTTCGACGGTTCGCTGTGTCGCCACAATAAAGTAAAACTGAGTGTACCGTATTTAATCTAATATAAGTAGGGGTGTGCGAATATTGTTTTTGAGCGGAAGTTGGACGGGGCGCTGCGAGAGCAGAGCTTCCTTGAAAGCGTGGAAAAGGTTGGAAGTCAACCTTCGGGGACTCCCGTCGTCACTGGAGTAGCAGACGGGGCGAGAATGGCGGTGCACCTCTTTGGGATGCCCGGCCTCCAGCCCGCGCTTGTTAACTTCATCTGTGCTTTGGCCGCGCAAGCACGCTCAAACCGACGCAACACAGACGCATCCTCGAAGGTGGCAGGTGCACGCCGGAGGTGGGACAGCCTAAGCTCCTTCCTGCCTTTCTCATCGGCGACTGCGGCACGGAAAATCACCCTTGACGTGCACCTCCGTTTGCCCCAACAAGAAACCTCGGGGATGGGGGGAGAAGGGTTTTTATTTAAAGGGAATCATTCCATTGCAACGCACTACATCGGCCACCCACCCACCCGCGAATCTATCGACGGGATGCCTCCGCTCATTTCGAGGTGGAGGTCCACCCCTTTGGTAACATTGGGTGCGTTAAGTCCGTGCTCCGGAGCGCGAGAGTTTGGCGCTTCTTTCACTAAACGGACAGGAGTGCCACCGAAGACTGACCCTCGAGCACGCTTTTTGTGCACCGGGAATTTCTCGGAGCGTGAGTGACTTCTTCGTGCTCCGTGACATCACGTAAACAAACAAGATGGCTGCGCTGCTGTTCAGACCGTCTAGACGAAAGGCGTAGCCGGACCGCTGCCCCTTTCCAGTTGATTAGTGCTTGAAAGCCAAGACAGCAATTAGCGCACCGATAAAGGTTTGTTCGTGCGTCTTGCCTGAGAATGAATTGATCTACTGAATGAGCGCGCCAATAGCTCAGCGACAGAAAAGTTGTGATGAACAGACAGCCAAACCGCTGCCCTGCTTAGAATGTTTAGACCAGCTGCAGCGAATGAAGATACTTAGAATGGAAAGCCGGTGTGCCGGTATCGGCGCAGCTCCCATCTCACTGCGGGACGGAACCGACGGAACCAGGGAATCTCCGACAAATTTGAGGGTTTCTCGCATTGACGAGAGGGTTCAAGAATGTCGTCTTTAATTTAAAACGGAACAGCATGCATGATTAATAAATAGATTGGATGTGCACGAAGCGAGTCTTCAAACATTTCAGGAATATTAAAACGTTCATAGAAACTAAACAACGTCGCCGTCTCTCTTGCTTTGGATTCTGCCGCTCCACACGAGCCTAGTTACTTATCTTCAAAATATTTTCGGGTTCTGCCACTTGTATCCACGGTGAGAAGAGCTTGTGTGGGCCGTCGATAGTTTCTGGCCGTGTTCCAAAACTTACTCGTCCTCTAAAGGTCCATACGCACATTTGCGTTTGAACGCGTTTGAGTGCTTTGCGGAGTCCTTGCGGCCAGGCGCGGTCACTTGCGGAGCGACGCGCGTCTTCCCGCACGCTCGGTAGCGCGACGCAAGCGAGTAGAGACTCGCTTAACTTTCCGAAGCGTTGTGGTGCGTTCGACCATTCAGAAGCCGAAAGAGGAGAGGGGGCGACGTGTTCGCTCGCCCCATCCGGCCGACTCGGCAAGACATATCCGGTTCGCCGATCGCAGTGCTTGCTTTTTCGTTTTGGGGAGCGGTGGGGACTGTATTTTCCAAAGCTGCGATGGTTCAAGCTTGACAAAACGTCGGGGAAGCCGGCGAGATTGTCCCAAGATCGAACACTTCGACGCTGTCGCCGTGCGCTGCCATGTTGCCTTGGATTTCGCTTACTATTGGTGAGCCACTAGCGACGATAGAGCGTTGTTATTGGCTCTTGACTGCAGTTGACTGCGTGTCAACGCAACTGTGCGTACAAGTTTGGCGCAAGCGGTCCTCGCAACGCAACGCGTCCGCTAGCCGCTACAGAACGCACCGCGCTCAAACGCGAATGTGCGTATGGGCCTTAACTCTAGGGTAAAGGTGGTTATCGAAAACCTACCCGCGTCCAGCGTTTCTCTATTTTTTGTTGTCATGCGACATAATCCGCCAGGGTAACTCGGATCCATTTGAGTAGGTTTGCAACGCAGCCTCGGTGTGTCGCGCTCCGGCACGTTGTGCGTCGTTTAGTTGCTGCGCTCGGAGTATGAAACTCGGAGCGTCGGAGTAGGAGTAAAGGAGCGCCGACTTAAAGGGAACAACTACCTAGGAGGGTCAACTTGATGAATGAATGAATAAAATGAATGAAACTTAGTGAGTGGCCTGCTAGTCACGGTAGATGGTGCAGAATGAAATTTCAGCATTGTACAATAACTGCGAAAGAAATTACAGTAGTCTTCATAAAGGACACACATACATTGTTTAGTCAATCGTTAGAAAACTAAGAAAATCTCACTTTTTTTTTTCGCTAGGTGCAAAACGATGTTCATTGTGTGCGCCTATGAAAAGATTTTAGTAAAAAGTCATTTATTTCTGTAAAAATATTGTTCTGCAAAATCAATCTACTTTTCAGCCCTCTCTGTCTTAGACAAAATGTTACAATTTTTTATAAAAGAAACCCATAAATAAAAAAAAAAAAACAATTCCACAGGCGCATTTGTCATTAAATTACAGTCCAGAAAAACAAAGAATGGGCCTTTCCTTTAGTCCCATTGTCAAACGATAGATTGACTAAAATGAAATTTATGCTGAAAAAATGGAACGGAGAAAAACGCATCTAAAGTTTCCACACCTCAGATACAGTATAGACCACTTACAACGTAACCGCTTATAGTGCAGGACCGGGTATAACGCGGTTTTCTTAAACCACCGGTTCGCCTCCCATAGAACTCCATGTAATTACATACCGCTTAAAATGAAGGCGCGCGAAGGGAAATACCGGTTATAGTGCGGTTTCTGGCACAGCCCGCCGATCGCGCCGACGACCAGAGCAGCGAGCACGCTTCCCTGTGCGACACTAGATAGCGGCGCTGACGGCGCGAGCAAGCGGCACTCGCGGGGCAAGGAGGTTGCTCGAAGAAGGGGGGAGGAGCGAAGAGAGAGGCTCCAGTTACCATAGCGACGGAGGGACGCACGCATGTGTCGTTCACGTGCGCGCATCCCTCTGCTGCGTTCGAAACAACCGCAACGACAGACCAATCGCAGGTCGAGGAGAAGTGTTCGCGCGCGTTGCATGTTGGTCGCGGGCCGGCTGCTTTTATCCGCAAACATGGCGTCGTGTCGGTTGTAATCGTCGTCGCAGACGGCGTTCATCTCATCGTTCCGCGTAAAAGCGCCATCCTTGACTGTGAATTTTCGTTGTGTGTCGCTATGATAACCCAGCACGTACTAGAAGGGAAGATCCACCTATTCGTGCGGCGATGTCGTGGCGGCGCTCTCAAGACGGCAGAAACGCCCGTGTCGTCGTGTTTGTTTACTTCGACTACAGTGGTGATTTCTAAGCATTTGTGTCCTCGAACATCGCCCGGATTTCTTTTTTGGCGCATTTCATGCGTGTGCTCAAGTTCAAGGTATTACTGGCGCGTACCGTATGAAGGATGCGAATTTTCACGCGTTTTCATCGCCTGAGAAAAGTGATTAGGGTTAGCAATCCTGAACGCTCGCAAAGTCTGCCCGCAACCCGCGACGCCGTTAAAAGGCTGCGCCAGGCAAAAGCCGCTCATTTCTTTCAAAATGTGTGACACACTCGAGAGAGAACTGTACTAGTCTGGTGAAATAAAGACTTTCCTCAAACTAAGCTTTATTTTTCATCTAACATAAAATAAATTCTTTTACGAAGGTAAGTTGTCTGATGGCATGTATTTTGGCCTGAAAAATTGATGTTTTGGTTATAACGCGGTACTGCTTATAGTGCGGATTTTCGCGACTCCCGCGACATACGTTATATGCGGTCCACACTGTATGCGTTTATTGCCTCAAAAAGGCCACTAAAACTGACCAGCGCCTCGACCCTCCTGGCTGAGGCGCTTCTGCTCAACAGCCACCGCTCCCAGCTTGCGTCGCTTGTGGGCGACCTTTGACGAGTCCAGGGCACTGGCACCTGGCAAGTCGGTGCCGGGTCACCTTTCTTGTCTGGGACTCGTGGTGGCTCCCGGCTTCCATCTCCATTTCAAGGAGAGCCCTCTCCATTCCTTTCGGTCCCATATTAAAATCTAGGACAGCTAGGGCCACTGCCGCCTCAATCGTCTTAAGTGAAGCAAACTTGGTCTTTGGACACCTTTTCCATACAAGGGCATTGAAAGACTCGTTGGCGTTTTGGGTCTTCATCCGTGCGCACCTGGCCAACAATTCTTTCTGTGCCAAGCGGTTGTACAGTGGCACAACCTCCTTGGCCACCTCCTTGGAGAAAGCCGGCCGGTGGGGCTTTGCACTTGATGGCTCGCCAGACGCTTGGAGTGCCAGGTGGCAGTTGTGGTAGCACCACGACTCTTCCCCCTTAGGGTATGCGTTGTGTCGAAGCTCTTCATCCGTTGAGTACATGTGCAGCAGAGTTGCGAAGACGCCTCGCTGCATAGCCCTCACATCCGGGGCATTTTCCTCGAGGGCGCTGGCATAATAATTTGTCATCCGCTTCATTACCAGGTTGGTCAGTTTGCCTCGTCCCCCCAGTCCTTTCTTGAGTTTTTCCAGTCCGGCATAAACTCTCTTTGCAACATGGTTTACACAATCTTCTTCGGCAACCTCCTTGTCATACAGCTGGAGCGAAGAGACATGGTTGTAGGCTTTGCTGTCACTATTGCAGAGGATAGTTCTGTACTGGAGGTTCTGGAGACCTACTGACCGACTGAAGATAACCTCCGCTGCTTGCACTTCCATAGCATTTGCTGAGCCGTCGAAGTTTTTCTGGCACTGGTGTTTTTCCAGCCACTCCTTGTAGCCTTCCGATGAGTCCAATCCTACAACCATGGCAATAATTGCTGACAACAGCATAGTTGAGAACGAGGCCCGTCTCCAGCTCTATGGCGACGCCAACGCCGAAATGTGACGTGTGGCCTCGCTTATGCCATGTCCCATCATAACTGATGGACACATCGGAGGGTGCTTCGGCCGTGGGGGTTGGTTCACCGTCGGGGGTTGGTTCACCGTCGGGGAGTGGTTCCCAGTGCCTTCCGCACCATCCGCACAGCCTCCTTCATCACGTTAGACGCCGCTCGCGTGGCCGCGTCGTGCACCTTTGTCGCAATATTTTGATAAGCCCTGAGGTGCATTGGTGGCGGGGCATTCAGTCCGCTAAAAAAGTTGGTTAGTTTAATAAAACAGATGCCACAGTTCCGAGAAACAATTCCGAGGTGTGCTGCAAGTTCGGTTTGTTGCGTTCCATCAACGGTCGACGAGAGCGGCGCCGAGACGATGACTCCGCACGTAGAGCACTCGGCATCAAACGTCAGACGAGCTCCCACACCAGTTTCCCGAAGTTGGAGACCACCAGCACGACAAGTTGGACAGAGCAGCGCTGCAACCAGGCTTCGCATACAGGACACGTCCAACAAATGGTAGCCGGCTGCACTGTCACCGGAAGGCTCCCTGGAATCTTCATCTTCATCACGCCCGCCGCTTTCGCCGGCCTCAAAAAAGCTAACCTTCCGCTCAAATGCAGCGAGCGTGCCCGCGTCGCAAAATGATGCACTTTCGGATGCTGGGGCTGGGGCCGCGAGATCCGCTCGAGCAGGCAAAGATCTCTGACACACAAGCACGTTGTCATCGGCGGTGGCGGTGGCTGCTTTCTTTGGACCGTTCCGTCCTCGTGCTTTCGTAAATCGCGAGCGGTGGCCGTATTGTTTCTGCATTCCCGACTTTACCACAGGCATAGCGTCAAAATGTAACAAAGTCCAACAGAATGGTCACCGAAAAGTTCGCGATCGGAACTGAGATGTGACAATGTTACAACGCAGGCTTCAAACAAGAACTAACGTGCGAACGGCAAGTCCACGAACACGCAGAGTGCGGGGACCAATGGGAGCTCAGGTTTCAACATTCCGGCCAATAGAGGACCGTGTACCTTTTATTTTTCGCAAAAACGCTCAAATTTCGAAGGGGTTCCCAATCGTTTTCCAGCACGCTCGCTTATCCTTGAACGACGACGAGTGCCAGCGCCGAAAATAGAAGAGATAAGCATTCAAACGAGAGTACGATCTGCTCGCTAGGCCTAGCATACGCAGAGCGCTTCCGAAGTAAAATGTGTAAACATTGCCCGACTCTGCGCCTGCGCCCCGTCGTTTTGTACCAACTCGCGTCACCGGCGCGCCGAAAATAATTTATAACGAAATAACTACGCAGCGGACGTAAATAAAACTTCGTAAAAGTATGCTTCGGAAGTTGTTGAACTTAACACCATTTTTCACAATCAACTTTTTTTTTTAAAAAGTTGATTTTTGCGGCTGTGTCTCCCCTTAACGCACCCATTACTGGAGCTTTTAAAAATTAACGAAAAATCCAGAAGCCTTCCCCGGTTTCTTGCTCCCCCACTCCCCTCCCTGGTGACGGGTAGCCACAAGGTGCCGAGCGATCACCCTTCGTAACTGCTTTCTCAGTTCGCTCGAAGCAAGGAGTCGCGGCTACGGTACGACCTTGCCGGTACGACTCTCGAAAGGACTGCGACGAGAAAACGCCCAATCCGGGAAAAATGCAACGACTGCCGACGCTGCCGGGGGCCCCAGACAAGACCGGAAGAGACTCTCGGGAGGCCATTTATTTCGAGCAAACTTAAGTGGCCACGGAGAAGCGTCACATTCATTCAAACACTCAACAACTTTTGTTTTCTTGCGACTCTTTTTCAAATTGGAGGTTTCTCTATGATCGAGACAGAAGGATGTCCCCCACAATCGGGATAGGACTAAAGGCTCCGAGCAAAGATGCGACGGCCGGGAAGGCAGATGCGAGGAGCGGGGTACGGATGGGGGCACCCACCTTGGAGAGGAGCTGGGAGATGCGCAGGTAGAGGGTGACCACGTCCGCACGAGCCAGGGTGTCGTCCCCCAGGTGCTTGTTGGTGAGCAGCCGGTACTGCAGGGCCACCATCGTCACCAGCTGGTCCCCTCGCTGGGCCAGGCCCCCCTCCTCCCCGGCCTCTAAGAGGGCCTCCACCTGCGAGCAAGGGGCCGGGGGTCACCACCTGCAGTCATAACTGGCACACACTTTTCCGATGCTATAATGGTCGTTGCAAAATTTCTTTTTCGTTCCCAATAAAATGCATTAAATGAACGCAAAACCAATAAAACCGACGGTTTTTCGAGTAATTTCAGCTATGTGTCATTCGTTTTGGGGCTCTTGGTCGCTGCCACTATCCGTCGGTCGTTGCACCACTTGGGCACCGCAAGTAGGAAAAAAGAGTTACCTTTTTCTTACTTTTTACTAGGGTTCTTTGAAATTTTGATGAGATCGTCTCACCACTTTTGGGCACCTTGGCGGTATATTGTAGCGCAATGCGTCACCAAGCCGACTTATACGATCACTTTAAAGGGTAGATTCACAAGCAATGAACCAACTTGCTTGGCTAAAAGCCCGTAACAAGGTACACCTGAATTCAGGATCTCGTAATTCTCGCCCAAAGTCAGGCCCCAAGGAAGAGACTCTCCCCCACCAAAAGATTCAAATGCCTCTTTCCTAACGGGAAAGGAACGCTTCCTCACAGAGCCAATAGAACGGTCGCCCTAGCACCCACCTGTGCCAGGGCGTCCAGCACCGTGGGAATCTCCTGGGCTGCCAGCTGGGACATGACAAAGTTGAGTGAGCCACCGTCGGGGGTGCCCTGCCGCAGCAGCACGGGAGTCCCGCCCACGCCTGGACGCCTGCCAAAAGGTAACCGGGATCAGGGACGCCCGCACAGAGCACCCCGCAACGTCGCGAGGTTTCGGAGTTCAGCCGTCGCCCACTCCTTCCGGCACCCGGGAGGTCGCTGCGTCGTCATGGTGCCCACCACCTCGGCCCGGCAACGCGACAATGAGCGCCGGCCAATTCTTTAGGAATCGGGCTCGAAACAATTAAAATTAATGGAGCTGTGCAACAATTTTAACGTTGAAAGGATTGGCATCGTCTATATTTGACATTGTTCATCTCGTCAAAAAGGACAGAAAACACACCTCCTTCCTTCGAAACGTAGCGATTCCGCCGCGTAATCGCGAGGCAAAAATTGGAATATTCCCCAATCTGCAGCTGCGAGCGGCGGCCATGAGAAACACACGGCGTGACGTCACTGGGGGTCTTGTAGAAAGATAGCAAGTGTGCGAATACCTGCTCGATAAAACGTAACTTTTCTATAAATCTTGTCGTTCTAAAATATTTATACAGTGTAGACCGCATATAACGTATGCCGCGGGAGTCGCGAAAATCCGCACTATAAGCGGTACCGCGGTACAACCAAAACCTCAATTTTTCAGGCCAAAATACATGCCATCAGACAACTTACCTTTGTAAAAGAATTTATTTCTATGTTAGATGAAAAATGAAGCTTAGTTTGAGGAAAGTCTTTATTTCACCAGACTAGTACACTTCTCTCTCAAGTGTGTCACACATTCTGAAAGAAATGAGCTACTTTTGCCTGGCACAGCCTTTTAACGGCGTCGCGGGCTGCGGACAGACGTCGCGAGCGTTCGGGAATGCTAACCCTAATCACTTTTCTCCGGCGATGAAAACGCGTGAAAATTCGCGTCCTTTATACGGTACGCGCCAGTAATACCTTCAACTTGAGCACAGGCACGAAATGCTCCAAATAAGAAATCCGGGCGATGGTCGAAAACACAAATGTTTAGAAAGCACCACTGTAGTCGAAGTAAACAAACACAACGACACGGGCGTTTCTGCCGTCTTTAGAATGCCGCCACAACATCGCCGCACGAGTAGGTGGATCTTCCTTTCTAGTACGTGCTTGGTTATCATAGTGACACACAACGAAAATTCACAGTCAAGGATAGCGCTTTTATGCGGAACGATGAACTTCCACCATGCCGTCTCAGACGACGATCACAACCGACACCATGTTCGCGGATAGAAGCTGGCCTGCGACCGGCATGCAACGCGCGCGAACACTTCTCCTCGACCTGCGATTGGTTTGTCGTTGCAGTTGTTTCCAACACAGCGGAAGGACGAACGCACGCACGCACGTGAACGACACGTGCATGCGTCCCTCCGTCGCTATGGCAACTGAAGCCTCCCTCTTCGCTTCTCCCGCTTTTTCGAGCAACCTCCTTACCCCGCGAGTGCCGCTCGCGGCTAGCGCCGTTATCTAGTGTCGGCGCGGTCGGCGGACTGTTCGAGAAACCGCACTATAACCAGTATTCCCCTTCGCGCGCCTGCATTTTAAGCGGTATGTAAATACATGGAGTTCTATGGGAGGCGCACCGGTGGTTTAAAAAAGCCGCGTTATACCCGGTCCTGCACTATAAGCGGTTACGTTGTAAGTGGTCTATACTGTAAATGCGTCAAAACTCTGGTATCATCAACAAAACTTTTATTATACGGAGTTCTAGTGGTGCTATCTATCCTAGGTCCACAAAACCGTCAGCTCTATCTGCTACCGCGAACAGCCGCCAGAAGCCGAAGGGGGAGGGGGACAGAGCCGGGCGAGTGTGGCCGGATCCGGATGAGACTTTCCTCCTTTCACCATACTGTTCGCACTGCGCCCGCCAGCACGTGATCACGCGGTCGCGAGCGGATGAGTTCTCGCTGCTCACTGATGGCTCAAGAGAGAGAGCTTCGCCGGAACCCCGCGCGACCCTTATTGATGTCACAACGCACGTGACTCGGAAGATAGAGAAGGAGTTGAGAGGTGCTGAAAACCTCAATCTTTGTCCATTTTTAAAATAAAAACTAGGACAGGCAAGCAAAAGCAGTTTTTGTTCTTTAGTTCAGAAAGGTCGAGACACCGACTCCCAAATTATTTAAGCAAAGCACTGAAACTGTTGCACAGCTCCTTTAACTGGGATTGTGCAACCACTGCCCCTCTTGACGACGGAAGGACTGCACTTTACGACGAAGGCGAGGGCACTTGCCTATCTCCTTCTTTGCCATTTTCCCATTTACGCAAACTCTAGGTAAATATTTTCGGGCTGTACGACTCGAGAGCGCAGACGAGAGAACACCGCGACACGAGAGCGCGTGCCATTAAAGCGCGCGACACGAGAGCACATGTGCGCGCCGTGGGAAGTTTCAAGGAGGCTATTCTAGACTATACGGCTAACTAAGGGGTGACTATTTGATAACGAAGAGGTGTTCCGCTTACTCAATTAAATAGTTCAAACAGTTCTGTGCGCGTTTTCTTTCTTTTTCTAAGAAACCGCGTTTTTATAGTTTCTTCCACTGGCAGATGCCGAGCGCTCCGCGCTAGCAGTCGTCGGGCAGTCGGCTTCCGTGAGCGACCGGTCATCACGTGATCTACCCATTCGGGTAGATCATGTGATAGTTTCGGCTCCAATTGCCATCTTGCTGACAGCATGAACTCTGGACAAGAACGCCCCTGATTGTTTACTACTTGATTAACAGTGACACCGATGGCCAAGAGAAGATTTATTTTTTCTCGCGGTTATTTCAACCCGATGAAGGCACCTAGAAGTCCTCGTATGAGCCATAGGAGGCAATTAAGTGGGGCTAGGCCCGGATGTGTCATGAGAGTCGCTTACGCCAGATTTGCATTCAAGTTGGTCTAGTTTACAAACCCCATAGCTCGCCACAGTGCTAGACGTTGTCTGCCCCTTTGCCTTCGTCATTTGATATTTTAAAGCGAACGGCATTTACGTGACTCGTGTACTCTGTTACAGAGCAGCTACCGTAATCAGATTGATGCCGCTACTTTCTGGCAATGTAGAAATAGAGTCAGGCCCTTTCTCTACACAGCAAAAAGACAGAATGCTCGAAGTTATGGAGCTACTGCCAAATACACACAAAACACAAGATGTACTTTTTACTGAGTTCGCAACAATTAAGCAAAAACAAACGTCGGTCCACAGAAAGCTTACGTCGGCATTCGCAATGTAAGAATCGCCTAAAAACACGTTACTTTACTAAAATTCCTCAAAATCAAATTGCAGCAAATACCAGTTACATCGACGGCACTTAGTGAGCAGTTGAGCAAGTTGGCAGACAGTCATCATCTCTAAAATCACTCTCAGAGAAATAGTCTTATCATCTATGGCAGTGGTTCTCAAATGGGGGTCCGCAGACCCCAAAGGGTCCGCGCGAAGGCATTCTAGAGGTCCGCGAAGCCCAGACTCATCGGTCAAGCCTGGAAATAAAATTTGTCTTTTCTCCGATTGAGAAGAAACATTCCGATTTTTGGGCGAGTTTTCTCGTGCATATGTCAGCAAGAGAAGTCTACTTCGCACTAGCTTTTAATTATATCCATTTATCAAATCACTATCATAATAATGAACCTCTACTTTCCCTTCCCCATACCACGGACGGGGTCCTCCATCATCTCTGCCAATCCACAAGGGGTCTGCGAAACATCAATGGCTGAGAAACACTGTTTTATGGCATTGTCGAGGAGAATGAAACGCAACCAATGTAAGAAACGAAGGTTCTCCAGCTGCGCAAAACTGTGCTCGGCATCAGATTCGATAATTCACATCTGGAACGCGCTCATCGTCTGGCTAGATTCAGAGCAAAAAAAAAATGAGGGCCAATCAATGTCAATCTTTTCTCGTTTTTTCTGCCCGACTTTACTGTTTATCGGTAGGACGGGAATGGGCAAGGTGGCGGTGCATTCGCGTTCATTCACGACTGTCTAGCAACGCCCGGCCGCCTCCAATCGGCCAGGGGCACGCGGGGAGGCCCCCCCGGGTGCTCACGTGTGCGGCAGCCGGAAGGCCGGCTCTGCGGCGAAGATGTCGTCCGTGTCCACCTCCCTGAGCCGGGCTTCAGTCGTGGGTGGCTGCACGGCCTCCCGCACCAGCTTCTCCACGTCGCAGCTGAACAGCCCCACCGATCGTGGACGGGCACCCGCTCCACTCTGGGGCCTCCTGGGAAGGGGCGATTAAGGGTAGGCTGGTCGGCCGCATTCTTGCCCGGGACGGAGCCTTCCACGCAAAAGCGTGCGGCATTGAACGCAACATCGCGGGCTCCCGATTCTTGCCGTTGCCTCTCGCGAGACCAGGTGCGATAGAGCCCAGTTATATCACCGGGAATCGTAAACACATACATCATATCTGGTCTTCACATAGCGTTAACACGCGACGTAAACTTTGTCAAATAAAGCGGCCCAAAGTCGCCCAGACCCAGAACACCGTGAAACGACAGATTTCAGAATGCCCGGCAGTTTAGTTTTCGTCCATTTTTAAGGAATACTTTCTCCATGTCAGAAATACTTTTCGTTACACCCATGGCCGAGCTTGAAATTTCTTCGTTAAAAGTGACATCAAGTGCCATGGAGGGAATACAAACGGGAGCACGAAATGAAGGTTAGACGTAGCGTTTTGTCACGCGCAATGTCCCCATAGCAATCAATTGTAACGCGGAATGTGTTTAAGGGCAGGCATTCCAAAATAAATCGGAACGGAACGCCACAGAAACCACCGCGATACGTGCAACGGAGACTTTAAAGGACAGTGCATACTAAAAATGCCAAATTCTAAGCAACACCCGACGGAAATCGAACCCCCGCCCCACGATCACAGGCCCGACGCTCTATCACCGCACAAAAAGGGGAGACGAGCGAAGAAGATCCAACCCGTCCACTCACCCTCGGTTTCTCCTCGCATAACCGAACAGTATAAAACACAGACATAACTGCAAAGTCCACCCCAAGCCTCAAAGAATGCCGCATAAACACGTTCCGTGTATACCAACTTTATCTGTGGAAGCGAGGTAAATGTTCTCAACAAACACCTCTTGAAAAAAAAAAAAAAAAAAAAAAGATTAAACAAAGCAAACTGCTCACCTGTGCACCACTTCGGGAGCCTCTGGGCTGGGAGTGAAGATGGCCGACTGGGGCCTGGCGGGGGGGGCCCTGGGCACCTCCTCCCTGGGGGGGGTCGGCTGGAGGGGCCGGCTGCGGGAGGCCCTCTTGATGCGCTCTTCCAGCAAGGACTTGTCCTTGTCGGACAGCTGCACCAAATACCATGGGTGAGGCCCCCCTCGTGGGCCACACTTCGCTATATACACTCCCTTCATCCGCTGTCCAGTGTTGGTATGGCAAACAATAACTAGCGCATAGGACACACGTGGACAAGAACACAAAGAGGGGGCTAGCGAAGAAATGTAAATGCTGATAATTAAAACAAGTGCGGAATAAAAAAGGCCATAAACGAAATTTCCTAAGAAAATTACATCGAGTTAAATAATATATAGTATTGTAGAGGAGAAAACAAAATGCTGCCTAGATTGTCCCTACAAGGGCTGTGAATACTTTTATCTTTTTCTTGACTAGACTCGTCATATCTCAGTTATCGGTGACGACAGGAAGACATTTCCCAACTTTGGGAAGGAAATTTTTGAGGCGGAAATCTTGGAATCCGATTCAAGGCGAAGGTTCGAGTTTGCAATATTGTGGATTTGTAGGCGGCTTATGAGGCTCTAGAGCTCACTTGCCAGCACCGTAAGCAATGCTACAGGGGGTCACCGAGATGCAGGCTGTGGCACCGGAAGTGTTCAAGAGATGGGGGCGAGAGACGGGAGATGGCCATAGAAAATGGGGGAAATAGGGGGAGGGCAACCACAGCACCTGGTGTGACGGTGTCGAAAAAGGGGGAGTGGTGGACAACATGAAATCGCACCATTTGGTGCAACAGCTTGGAACAGGCATATTTCAAATCTTACAATTGTTAAGGTTGCACAAAAGAGACTCCCGCTCTCTATGTCCCAAGCTTTAGACTTTTAGAGGTCATTTTTAACCACTCGTTCCCCGAGAAACCGGGGGGGACCCCAGCACCAAATGTACGAGCTAAGATCATGTGCTCGGATGGGAATTTAATATCTGGACAATTTACGCACCATTCGACGGCGCTACAGATGCGTCGTCGGCACCATCCAGAAGGGGAGAAAACAGCCTCTCCAATTTTTTTACGAGAATGTGGCAATTGGCTGCCTCGTTTGCAAAAAAAACTTCTCCAATTAAGCCACTTTTCGGTCATGCTTTTGGCATGCAACTACAATTTATCGTCCTTTTCGCCTTATTTAATCCCTTAGCTGTTTCGATCGAGCCTAGTTAGTCAACATGGAGCTGTCTCTATACCGTTCAAGACGAGTATAGCTCGTCAATTTTCCCCTCAATCATGCGGGCGGGATCCGTAGGCGGGATCCGTATTGGACAACCAAGGCTCGCTTGTGGCTTTGCGAGCAGATTGCAGCACCAATCTTTAAAATTTTGTTCCTATCCCATTTGAGACTAGAAATTTGAGTTTGAATGCAACAAATTTGATATTGAAGACAATATTAAGCAGTTAAGGATCAGAAATTTTCACAGACTAGAAATGGTTAAGGGGTTAAAAACCATTTCAGTAAAGAAAAGGTCTACTGGTCAGCCTATTATACCATAAAGAGAAAAAAAGCTCCCGGGGGCCCACTCACCTGTCCGACGTGCTTGTAGACGCGCTCTCCCTCCTGGAAGTAGGCCTGCACCACGCAATTGAGGGCGGCGTTGCGCACCGCATTGTCCCTGTCCGAGATGTGACGGGCCACCTCCCGCAGGGCCACAGGGGGCGAGGGCTCACACACAGAGACGCCAAACACCTCCACCAGGTGGCCCAGCTCCTCCAGGCACTCTGCGCCGGTCAAAAGGGCCACTCGTGGGCTCCGCAACATCCTCCCCTCGGGGAAACTTCCAGCCCCCTGCTACCTACTGCTTTCCACAAAAAAAGTTTTTGCCCACTTTCTCCACTTGGCGCGCCAGTGGGCGTGCTGCAGGCGGCGGCATTTTTCGCTGCTCCAGAGGACTCGCTGAACGAACATAGTTTCGCCATTCGCTTTCGCCCTCAGATGTTGGCAACTCTGCACCGAGCGCTCCAAAGTGACAGTGCCGGCAGACGTTTCACGGAACACGCAGCATTCTCCGTTGGAACAGAAGTGTTTGCTGTGGAGCTTATGCACCCAAGATATCTCTCTCGCCTTGTTGGACGGCAGAGTGCAAAAGGTCACAGACCTGTTTGTCCGCTTCCCAAGTCCCAAAACATTTGGCACTGATCCCCTCGGTCCTTTCTTTTAGAGCGCAGCTCTTAGGCGCCGTTTCCGGCTTGAGCGGCGTCGCAATCGGCATAACCGCGCGGTGCATTATGGGACGCGTGACGTCACTGACGATGTTATCGGCATCGATGACGTCATGAGTGACGTCACTGATAACGTCATTGGCATCCGCATTGTCATCGCCAGTGATGACGTCATCACTGACGTCATCAGTGACGTCAGTGATAACGTCATCGGCATCCGCGTCGTCACTAATGACGTCATCAGCGACGATGACGATGACATCACGATGACGTCACACGTGACGTCTCTGGTAACGTCACTGATGACGTCATCGTCACGTAACCTCACAGGGGTCATGTGACCCCGGTGAGACCACTAGACCTTTTGAGGTCACGTGACCCTCATGAGGTGATGGCGACGCCGCTCGGACAGAGGAATAGCAGAGAGGATGAGGAGGTGAGGAGGAGGGAGGAAGGATATACCTTCCCCTCAGTATTCTTTCCTCCTCCTTCTCAAGAGCTGCGCCCTAATCCGGCGTTACACAGAGTAGTAAACGGCTTTCATTTTTATTTTATACTCTTACCGTAAAATCCCGAGCGATAGTCCACCTAAAATCGAGAGCAAATCGGGTGAAGATATGGAGTGGGCTAACTTTCGGTGTATAATCAAGAAAAGTTTAAAAAATTCAATTTTTATGTCATGTGTCCCTTCCAAGCTTGTTATGGTGATGAGGGGCAACGAAGCAAAGATGACTGTACTTCGCAGATAGCAACGTTCGCTTATATCCCGCCATAGATAACTAGCTGTATTTAAGTCGAGGCCATCATTGATCCCAACACTATGATTACTAGGGGTGGGCTACCTTTTGGTGCTTAAAAAAATATAGCGAATCAAGCCAAAAATAGGGGTGGGCTCTCTTTCGGGGGTGGGGCATCTCTCGGGATTTTTCGGTAACTTCTTTAGTGCCTGCGACATACTTACAGCATGGTTGAGCGTGGGGGCGAACAACATTAAGAAGGGGTGCCTTTGTCGCTTACAATGGGCGAAGGAAAAGTGACAGCTGCAGCACATCTGTGCAATGAGGGCAAAACGGTTTCGTCATGTACCTGGGGACGGTACGTGACGATACCATTTTGCTCGCATTGCGCCGACGTGTTACGTCCATCGCTTTTACTTCTCTGCTCATTGACAAGAAAAGCTACGCCAAACGAGCGATGGAGGAGGTCTTCCCGGTGTTTCCAAGCAGCAAAAGGAGGGGCTGATGTTGACGTTCGGGAATGAGCGGAGAGGGGGACACATACAGAAAAACGAGGCGAAGCTCCATAGAGTGCATTTTACGTTTTGAGTTGGGTTCAAGAGGTAGGGATATCATAGCGAATTCGAATGGCAGACGCCCATTTCGTTGCGGGGCACTCTCCAGCTGGACAGACCAAGGAGGCCTCGGCAGGCAGAAGTTGGGACAATGCGAAGACTGCGAGGCACACATTCTCTCGCGCTTTTTTCCAGGAATTCTAGACCCAACTGGCAGCGTCGCAACATCCGACGGCACGACACTCCAACCGACGCCGTTTGTTGCCACCTCCGGACCACTTTCAACGCACGGGCAAAACGGGACGCTGAACGCGCCGGTCGGAGAGCCGTTGCAGGTACCGTACTCCCACCTGGAGGAAAAGGACACCCACCGGCCCTCTGGCGGGCGTTCTTGGAGGCCAGGCCCTGCATCAGGAAGCCAAACATCTTGCAGGCCGGGAACACCTTGCACACCCGCCGCAGGATGTCGTGCACCCCCTTCCGCACCGTGTCCTTGGAGTCCCCCGCCTGCACACAGAGGGCGCCCTCAGCACCCCACCCGAGGACCGCACCCTAGCACCCGCACAGATGGAACAACCTAGCGTGAAGACCGGGAGTCTCGAGGACATTTCCCCCCAACGGCTCTATTGCAAAGCGGAACGTCCTCAAAACGTTCCTAGTTCAGCAAGCTGAACTTCGAATTATTGCGCGTTTTTACGGCGAAAGCCATTACAGGCTGTTCTCACCGCTGAAAATTATGTTCGTCGTTGTTGATGCTGTATGGTAAACCCTCTGTAACTCAAAACCGTAAAAACTGGAAAAAAAAAAATTTTTGCCTTTCTGCTTTAGTGAAGAAGGAAAAGCAGCGGAGCTGTAGCTTCTGTTCTCTGCGGTGGCTTTCCAGGCAAGCGATCTGGTCTTCTTTCGCAGGGGAATCTGAAGCGCTCCACGCATGCGGCGGTTGCGAACCCATTCGCGCTGCTGCGTACGTCGCCACTCCTTCCGCACCTGGTCTTCTTTCCCCGAAGAAAGGGCACGCGGCCGATCCATCGCGAGTCCAAACGAAACTGATAAGAGCGTAGGAAACAGCGCGCAAAACAGACGAGGACGAAGAAACAAATGTGACGAGCGCTGCGCTCATCATGTGCGTTTGTGCTTCGTCCTCGAATTTTTTTTGCGCTGTTTCCTACGATGAATTCCCACCAGCTCACCCAACTATCCATTCTTCTATGATGGCTGGAAAGGTTGCCGCCATCTATGAGCGACGGCGGCAACCATACTGGTTGTGTGCTTGCCGCCGTCGCTTATAGATGGCGGTAGCTCTCCAGAGGCGTTTTTGTCGACAAGTGTTTTGTGCCGGACACGATCCTGGGGAAATTAGAGATAAGCAGAGTTTTGAGATAAGCGAGGTATTGAATTCCCGCTGCAGTGGTCGGCCATAGTGCAAATGGAACCCTTCCAACAACCGCGCCGATAAACTTTATTCATACTTGTGGCACCATTTATCGGAAATATTGGAAACATGATTCAAACGACCTCAAAGACTGCGGCACGCCATTTTTGTTTGGGGATGCAATGAGAGGGGGGGCCACTCGAAACGTGATGCACCTAGACCGCATCGACTTACTCAAAGCACTCCTGGGTTATCAGCCCGCCTCTGATGTAGTGATCAAATTTGAATTCTCAAATTCACTGATCTGCAGAAATCTCTTAAATCCCTCCTTAAATCCCTCCTCATCGGGAAACGCAATGTTTCCCGATGTCGACAGGTTTATGTCAGTTCCGACCCCTGCACCCCTACTGAACACTAGCACCTTGTACACTGAAATCAAGAGGCTGTGCATTCGTTCAATGGACTGAAATTTGTGGAAAGCATATGTTTAGCTCCTATTTCGTTTAAAAATACTTTTCCCCAGTCTGAAAGTAAGGGATTCAACAAATGCTTCAACGAACGCCATTTGGCTGGAGGCAATGGGGCATTTGGCTCGCATCAAGTTTGTCCAGGTTTGTTCCTGTTATTTCGAAGGGCAAGCAGCTCTCAAGTTCTGCAGTGCACCTGGCCTACCAAAGTGGATATATTTAGGTCGCATTTCAATTGTGCGTCACAATGCTCACTCACCTTGCTCGTGGATGCCACGCGCAAGGTGAGTGAGCACTGACTGCGCATTTCTTCCGTTGCTTTTTTTAGTCCTCTCGGTAGCGTTTTAGCGCACATCGACGGACGCTGACAGACGTTTGTATTGGACGTCGTTCACGCATAATGGAATGCTAGGATGCCACTTTCATGGTCGAGTCTTGGGAGCGTTGCGCAAGTTTTCAGATGGGAGTGGAATAGCAGACGGACGAAGGCAAAAACGGACACCGACGCGCAGCTTTCATGTCCACCTCTTACAGGCATGGCAGGCGATAGACAGTGGCAGAATAGCAGACGATGTCGGAGGCTGCCGCGCATCTGCTCGCACGACTAGAAGGCGATGTCAGACGCCAGACTAGATGCACCGGATGTTGCAAAAGGGAGAGACTATGCCCCCAAGCACGTTCGTCCAAGCAGCCAAGCCAATCCAGTGGTAATGGGCGGGGCTTAGAGCGGGCCATGACCCCCGCCTAAATTGCGTCTAACAAGGATAAATACTGCCCGAAAAATGTTTTATTTTTGTGGAAAATTACCAAAGAAACCATGTGTCTTTTTAAAGGGCAACTCCGCTTCTTTTCCAGTAGTGCAAAACTATACAGTTCTCTTTGTTATCATCTACAAAACCCCCATGGCAAATATTACGACGGAATTCCGCCTAGAAGTTCATTAAAATCGCTGTCAAAGTTTGACAAGCACGAATCCGCTGGTTTTGGATGAGACGTGCGGACCAGACAACACTGCCCGGCTGCATTTCCGCTTCCTCCAAATTCCTTCTCCCGGCACGTCCGCGACGTCATCAAACATGTACAGCTTCTTCTCCTTTTTTTTTTTTTTTTCAATTCTGTTTTCTTTCTTGGTGAGAGCACGGGTGGCGCCAGCGCCGTGAAAGACGTGAGTGACGCGCTCGGCCGGCCCGGCGCTCGACTATTGATACTACTGATAAGCCGATCGCCTCGTTGAGCGCGGCTTGTGTTACATCGCATACTTTTGAACACCAAGTAAAGGGAGGAGAGGGAAGCTGCTTTTGTAAGAATTTTGAGTGACAGGTTAATCTTCTATAATCTTCTGGGAGGAGAATAGCGACGCCTGTGCTAATCCAGGAGGCACAAAGGAGGATCCTGATAAGAGGAGAGCTCCTTCTTCCCCTTGTATATCACGTGGGTGTACATGCTTAGTGATGCCGAATATACAATGTTGTCCGGCTTTGCCACCGTTTCGGTTTCAGTTTGTGACTAAAATTACACGAAAAATATTTTATTTTTCGCGAAACAAAAGATTGGGGATTGTTTTTGAGTGCTTCAAAAAGCAAAATCGGCCACTATCTCAAAATTTTTGAAATTAAGCGGAGTTGCCCTTTAAGAAAAAAATTTTTTTTTCTTTTTCATTTTAGTATTTTGTGCGAAGCAAGCGCTGCATAGGTCGCAGAAATACGCGATCGGTCCCTAAACGCGACGCAATCAACGAGCAAGTGCAGAAGGTGCGGTCGTTTGCAAAGTGCGAGATTCCAATGAGCGACGCCGACGACATGCTCTGGGAACGTAGCGGCGAAGACGACGGGAATGAGAGCACCACTGCGAGCTAATCGCAGCCTAGAGTCGCAGACAGAGAGAGAACAATGGGTAGCTTCAGTCGTCCCGCCTCCAGCTTGAGCTGCGGTAAGGCTTCAGCATCTCATGCGCCCCACATGTGCATGCGCAGCCAAAGTAGTCAAAGCATGCCAGAAGGCATCAAGCACGTACTGGAGATCGGGTGGTCCAGAGACACGCACGTGCCACAATATGTGACCCTAAAAACAATTTTTGGGTTGATTGTATTGTAAATGTAAAAAAACTCTTAAACAAATAAGAGCTAGCTAGATTTGTTGACAAAACAAAATTAAACCTATAGAACACCCCAGCTACACGTAATCAATGTGATTCATCAACCTCTTCCTGATACCAAAGTCCAAAATATCCTTCTTGAAACCATAGACTAGCAAAAACATTTCCCCTTTCGCCCCTTAATGTGGCAAAATACTGCAGAATGTGATGCAGCTAGATGCATTCCCAGTGCCGCTGTTTTTTGCACTGCGGAAAATTCGGCACCACCATTCCGGGAACGAGACATTGCGGAATGGAGAAGATGAGTGTCTCAAAGTGCCGCGACTTTCTCGTGAAGGATCCTATCTGTAAAGCGCACTGAAGAAGAGAAATAAGAAAGCGCACTCTTGGCAGGAATTCTGGGAGCCTGGAGAGCTCGTTTGTTTAGCGCACGTTAGAAGTAGAGCGGACCACTGGCCGGCACCTAACCTTTCCGAGTTTTCACTCCAGTGAGGGAGAACAATTGGCCGCGAAGTACCAGCCGCGCATTTTGCAGAGTGTATGCGAGCTTATCACATGGTTCACATCGCATCATCAAACGGAGAGCGAGCAACTAGTCGGGACATCAAAGTTTGTTATGGAGAATGACCAGTTTTCTACTGCAAATTTTACCGGTACCGTAACAATCCGGCAGCGTAGCGCTGCTCGAACCACTAGTTCCATTAGGGACAAAGTGAAATGAGCTAGGAACGGCTGGCTCACCTTGAGCACGAGGTAGGGCAGGAAGGAGGCTGCCTCCAGGTCGTGCATGCGGTAGCCGGCCTCGGCCAGGGCCCCGAACAGGGCCTGCAGGTAGTCCAGGGAGCGCAGCAGCACGCTCGGGTTCGTGTCGAAGAAGCGCAGCGTCAGCCACTTGAGCACCAGGTCCAGGCTGGCTCGTGTGCCCTCCAGGCCGCCCTCGCTCGACAGGAACTGCCGCAGGGAGGGACACTCTCCCCGTTGAAACCTACTCTGCCATCTACCTATTCCTACTATCCTCTGTTTCACGATTACTCGGTCAACTGTGGAGGCTGCGGCCCCAACTGAGCAAGGCACGTGACGGCACTCCGTGGACGAGGTTACGGGGATCTCGTTACTGCAACAGCAACAGCGCCGTCCGTGACAAAAAGTGCTTCTAGGCATCTTTTTATTTTAACGGCAATTGAAGATGCGCGAGTGCATCTCTATCGACATTACACTACACGACATGGAAGAAAGACGAAGACATGTTACTTTTAATTGATACTTAATTCGGATCGAGCCTTTTCCTATAACGTGACTTTTGGACGATGTTTGAATGATTGCAGCCCTGTAATCAAACACTTCTGATCAAAACGTCGTCCTGGCATTAGCCACAGATTCGCGGATAAAGTGAGAGTATGGTTGTCTCATGAACCCTTTCCAAAGAGTTCGCTACTCTAGAAAAAGGCAATGTTGCACCGGTGGACGTTCGTCCGAAGTAGGTTGGTTTCACAGCAGACGACTCTTTGCCAGCAGATGACAGCCGGTTCCTCCAGGCCTCACATTTGGCACAGTGATACAAACGCTCCCGTGACGTGGTGTCAGGTGCCTCACTCCAACATTCTCATTCAGTCGCGGGGGCCGTAGCCTCCACAGTTCACCAAGTTATTGTGAAACAGAGTATAGAGGAGGCTAGCCGCTCTAGGAGCCGGGCACAAGAGAAGCCGGCGGAAGTTTGGTACATGTGATCAGTCTGAGTCAATTTGGAGCACCGTTCGGAGCAGCTAGAAGTTCATTTTAGAGCAGCAAATCATTTTCATTCCTACCACTGCAAATATTGTATGTTAAGATTAACGAGTTCACCTGTCCATTGAGACATTGTCTACTATGCCTTCCCACTTCTGCGCAACTTATTGTTAGCACAAATTGTACGGCAAGTTTGATCCCTTCAAACACGGAACTAGCCGCTATGCGTAGAAGTACCAGATATGACAACAATATGCAAACTGATGAAGGACAGTATGAACTGCTGCGAGTGGATATTTTTCATGGAAATCATGTTAGAACAGAATAATATCGAGCACCCCAGTTGATGTTTCATGAAAGTCGTAAAGGTTGTAATAACGCTGCAATTATTAATCCTGACAAAAACAAAACCTTCGTCATTTGGTTATTAATATCAATGTAGGATAATAACAAAAGTCGACAGTGGGATCGGTAAATAAGCCATTAGAAACAATCCAGTCGTACTCATTAAAGTTATTCCCAAGTTTCGAAATACTCGTCGATCCAACTGAGTTTTAATTGACTCAGTCCACTGTGCCAACGGAGAGATGGAACCAACGTAAAGTAGCTAAACCAGAGACGAGATAAAAAAGAAAGCTTATAGAGAAGGCCACAAAAATCGTCCCGCAATACAGAAGTCTCCTCGCTGAATCTTGAATTTGAAGTGGCAATTATCATAATATTGCCGTCTATTATATATACTAGGTGTAGTTTTATTCTGAATTTCTACCATAAGGTTGAGTTGTTACATCTCCAGTACGGTTGCAGTGAGGGAAGCGGCATTTGACCTTTTGTAGCAGGTTCTGTAGCAGGCAAAAACTTGGATTTGGAGCAGCCACTGACGTTTTTGGAGCAGATGCCAGCATCTGTTAGCACATCACTTGAGAATAAAAAAAGTGATTGTATCTCAATGAATTCATTTCTGATAGTGGTCAGGGGTTCCCCTTTGATGCTTGCGCATATTACTTATTACCATTTGTGATAAAAATAGGGCATAAAAGGAACAGAGGCTTCTTAAATAAGGCTCTAGTCAGAGTAGGTTTCATGTACAATGGGTATTCAAAATAATTGAAAAGTGAATCATAGCGCAAAACTTCATCGGGATAAATCCTCTCCCCTCTCCATTTTACACCCGATGGTTTGTTTAGCCTGTAAATATAATTTCTGTAAAATGCCAACAAGAACCAGCATATCCGCTAACATGCCTACTGATAAAAATGCTCCCTGTAAGTTTAATAAACCTACCAAACTCCAGACTCTAATATCATAAACTGCAAAAACAACCACACCAAAATATTATAAAAGTTTACATTTTCACTTTAAAGGTGATACTGCCCTTTAGCGGCGTAGGAACCAGAGTTACGTCAAAGTTCGCTGCTCTTCCGATCGAAAGCCGCAAAGGAACTTCTGTGATTAGCACATTTATTCAAATATATATAGACCCTTGTTTTCTTCTCTTTATTTCTCCGCTGTTTTCTTTTAAATGAGAGATTAGCTCAAAATTAGAACGAAGAAGTTTGACCCGTACTAATCCTGAGCATAATTTGTGTGCCTATTGTGCTAAGCGAGGCACTCCTCCAGGTCCGTCGCTGCTCCTAGCACTCGGGTGCAACGCGGTGAAGCTCGACGCGCGGACGCAGGTGAGAGGCAAAAGTGGTACTCTGCAGCCACGGAATGAAGGCATGAGGCAAGCACGATAATCGAGTGATCATATGAGAGGTACAAGACCCTGGTTCTATTTTACCACAGTAGCTGCAATCGGCAATCCTACACTTTTGTAAAGCTTTCCTAAGGACCCTTAGTTCCTGACATCGATGGACCCTTTCCTGATGAATCAGCCAGTGCCATTGATGCCGGGCATCAATGGCTCTAGCCGGTTGATTGACAGCATCAAAGCGTGACATCATGGCATTCGTCATTTCCTTGTACGAATTCTTTCATCGGCTATACCAATCAAGGTATGTCCCTTGACTTGCGCTCTTAGTATGCGTGTTTGTCGTGAAATTCATATTCCTAAAATTAGGGACAACCAATTATAAAATGTTAATTTTTTTCGCTTTAAGTCAATCTCGGTGCACGTGTGGTGCAATTCTTACCAAAAATGGCATTCCGGTGCAAGATGTAGCACACTCTCGTTCATGGCGAAATTTGACGCAAATGGCGCAGCACTTCCATCACTGAGCTTGGTTTTTTGGCTAGTAGGTAGTCTAACATATTGAGGTATTTAGCGCACAAAGTAGAGAAGAACAACCTGTTCTCTCTATTGTGTGCGCTAAATACAGTTAAACCTGGATATAACGAAATTGATAAAAGTTTGCAATAATTCGTTATATGGAGGATTTCGTTACATGCAGCTTTCGCGGTAAAACTCGTTATGGACACGTGGAAAAAAAGTGAAAATTAAAAATCCACGTGGGCAAATTCACCACATTATTTATTTAGTGGAAAAGAAGTCTGTAAGCTTGCGTTGTGCCTTTCGCGTGAGGGAAGGCAGCACGCAGCGCTCCAAGGACACCAAAGTGTTTAGAGCACTGTTGTCGTCCTGGGAGCTGGACATACACCGATGGCATCCAAGACCTCCCTCGCGGTAGACACCAAAGGCTGCTCGCCTTTGGTGGCCATTTGACAAGAATATATCTGCATTTTAGGTACAGTGGCCGACCGATTATTTGGACTTCGCAGGGACCGAAAAAACGTCCGAAAAATAGAGCAGTCCGAAGAATGAGCAGATTGAAAAACTTGCATTTATTACTTCCAAGCGGGCTCAAAAAAGCTGTAAATAGCGCCTTGTTCAGGTTACGCCTCCGTTTCCGTTCAACAACTTTCTGTTAGCTTGAGAATCGCTGCCTTCTTTTCTAGCGTTATGGTCGAGTACTTTCTGCGCTTCTTAATGACACATCGCGGCGGCAGAACAGATGTGGCCATGACGTCCAAGCCAGCGTTGTGCGAACGAGAGAAGAGGCGCAAAATCACGGGCGCAAAATGGCGACTGGCGACGCGAAGGAACGAAAAACAAAGCAAAATTATAATAATGATGATGATGATGACGTGCAGCTAAATGGGAGAAAAAGGGCTAGCATAGCGTCACCTAGCGGTAGGACTCAGGGAAGCCCAAGTAGCGCTGCTAAACCAAGCCAATCCATTGGCAGCCAACATAGAATTCAAGATGGTCGCTTCTCGACGGTGTTTTCCGCTGATCGTTCGCGACGATTTTGTCCGAATAATCAAACTTTCGAAACATTGGTCATGAATATACACTATTTCAATGGGGTAAGTCAGGGTTCAGTCTTTAGGTACGAAATATAGAACAAGTTCAAATTATCAGAGTCCGAAAAAAAATGAAGATTGCGGCGGAGCGAGTTCGTTAAATCAAGGTTATCCAGTGCAGGCGCTTCGTTGCATGGAGTTCACAAATACAAGCGCTTCTATGAAAATCGCGTCGGGGAATTGAAAAAATTCGTTAAATAGAGGATTTCGTTGTATACAGGTTCGTTACATCCAGGTTTAACTGTACTTCAATATGTTACACCTGCACTTACCAAGTTCTTTTCTCAAATATACCCGACACTTCTGTTTGCAACACCTCATGTTGGAGAAGTGCTTTCCCCTAAGTATGCGGCTGCGCTGCGGCGAAGTACGATGCAAAATATTGCATCATTTTTTGCTCTACTGCATTCGCTGCACTGTAGTGGAACAGTGCATGGTGAGGCGCAAACTCAATGAAGTTACCTAGCCCTACAGAACAGACCATGACAATAATGCGTGATTTCCAAGTACGGTCAGTGTTCGATAGAGATCAAATCGAGTACCGTGTTACTTAAAAAAACACTAAAACAAAACTTTTACAAGTTTTTTTGGGGGACATTTCTTTTTTTTTTTTTTTGGTTTTTCCAAGTAAAAAAAAAAGAAAAAGAAATATGTGTAATATTGATGTTGTTAGATGCTCTCATTAGTTGGTTGGAGAGATGAGTGACTTTGTTTGAGCTCTTTGAAACCAATGCAAAGAGCTCGCACAACCTAATGCAAGGAGCTAGCGCTTCTGTTTCCTGCTGTGCAGGGATTCTACTAGCTGACCGTAGCACAGCTTTCAACAGAGGGTCAAAGAGGCCTACGATACAAGCTAAAGGCCTGCCCCACGAGAGAAAGGAGCAGACCAAAAAGGACAGAATTAGCGGCCGAGCGAGAAGGGCATTGGACGAGGGACAGAGAAGGTGGGCTCGTGCCGACCTAGGGCCAAACCAGGGAATAACCTTGGGGAGCGGCCTCACCTCGGTGAGCATGTCCAGCGCCCTGAGGTGCATCTTAAAGTCGGTGCTGAAGCAGGCTGCCACCAGGTGGGGGGCCCAGGCGGCGGTCACCATCTGCTCCTTCAGCTGCTGGTGGAACTCCTCCCGGGGCGACGTGAAGTTCCACTTGAGCAGCTGCAACGCGAGTGGGTTGGCCCCCGACGCTTCCCGGCAAAGACGATTGGGCTCTCTCCGAAATCGCGAGAAACGCTTTTCCCTCCTCCGGGAACATCGAAACAGTTAGCGACGGACCGACCCCGACCTTGGCAATCCCCCAAACTGCATTTGAAAGGGTGCCCACAAAGAGGGGCCGGTTTGCATCGGTCGGCCTTCCACGACCGGTTAGAGTAACCGATTTCGCCGGCTCCGGTGAGCTTTCAACAAGGGTCTTCTTACCGTCTCGTGTCAAACAATTAGCGATTTTGACACGTGGAGGAGGCAGGACGGTAACCAAAACGTACCAGCTCTTGTGCCGCCTGTTTTATTTCCAAACCCGCGACGACAGACAATGGCGACGCCAGGGAACATGGCGGCACGGTCCCGAAATACCCACGCGGAACAACCCGGGTGCCTCGTGGGATTTCTCGCCAGGGTCTGTTCAATTCCTCTTTCAAAAGAGCGTCTATAGGGTTGCTCAATCTTTTGACTGACTTGCCCAGTTACCTAGCAGCAAATCTTGCCAAAACTTCTCCCATAAATACACACAGTAACATCCCCAAAAGACTATTTCGGATTTAGATTTCGCATATCTCGTCTACAGTCACTGACCTAGTGACAACGGCGAGTCTTTGGATTGCCCGGCCTCCAGCAGGCGGCATGCTTTGGCCATGCACGCGCGCTCAAAGTGCACGAAACTCATTACACTGGCTTGACATAATAATAAAAACAACTTCAATAAACGTTTCGCCTTCCCTCGGGAGGCATCATGAGTAGATACGGAGCAATGAGAGTTGTTAGGTAGGGATGGTGACGAGTCATGTAGGGCTGAGAGAGCTCACCCTAGCGAAAATTCCAACAGATATTTGTATCGGACCAATAGAGATTTCTTTTGGTTCGATAGAAATTTGTATCGGACCAATAGAGATTTCTTTCGGTTAGATAGAAATTTCTATCGGTCCCATAAGAATCAATATCGGTTCCATAGAAATGTGGGTCGGTCTCATGGGAATGTGTATCGGTTCCATAGGAATGCCCATTGGGCCCATAAGAATTTCTATCGACCCAATAGCGTGTGAATTTGAGCAGCCTCCAACTGTATCTGCCTGTTCAGATTAGTGAAGATCGGAAAGACGAACTCAAGGAACTCCAAGTATATCCAAACAAGTGGACCTTGGAGCCTCCGCACATATTGTCCCATTCAGTCTCGGAAGTTAACTAAATCGGAGGATTGACACTGTTCAAAATCTCGTGAAAGTCACTAACACGTGTGTCCTCAACTATTGCAAATGTGTCGTCGATGTATCTGCAATACAACTTAACGGGAAACTGGACTCTAGGTAATATCTTCCGCTTAATATACTCCATTACAAGATTAGCAACAGCAACTGGGCTCCTATTCACGTGCTGGCACGCTTCTCCGCAAAAGGAAAAGAAGCATTAGGCAGAACGTAAAGGCAGAATGGTATCATATACACAGAAGGATGTCTGGGCCGAGAGGGCTTCTTCATCGAGCAAGCGCCGAAGTGCAATGGCAAGTTCGTTAGGAACATTTGAGAATAAGGACACCACGTCGAAAGAAACCATACTTTCGTGCGGACCTACTGGACAAACTCCCGGGAATTCTGTACGCGAAAGTTATTTTTTGCCCTTCGGGGATACTAGAAACCTTTACGGGTATTTTGACGGGTTATATGCCAGGGAGCACACAAACGAGACAAAGGTTTGTACGGGGCATCCCTGCTCATGCACTTTCGGGAGGCCGTACTTCTTGGGTGCAGAGCCGTAGGAAGAGTATGGGCAGGGGTACAAAGCGTCACCGAGACTACCTTCCTTTCGGAGTTCACAGAGGCGATCAAGTAGAGACTGTTCAGTTTTTGCAGTGGGGTCACGGGGTAGTTCGACAAAATGTGCGGAATAAACTCGTAGAAAATGGGGCGTCGACGGAATCCTTCCCGGCGGAGGATCTCACCTTGAGAGCCCGCTCGTAGGCGATCCTCTGCTCCTTGAGGGCGTTCACCGCGAGCAGGGGCCCCAGGTCGGGCTCCTCCTCCTTGCGGGGCTTGCCCGCAGAGGCCGGCTTGGCTGCCACCTGGGCCCAGGCAGAGGGCTCAGCCCCCCACTTACCCCACTTTTACGAGTTAAATCGCATTACAAAAGGAATTGCTTCTGTGGCGGTCAAATCCTCGCATATTTCCGCTTAAAAAATACAACTGAAGAAAACTAGAACGCCCAAAAGCTTCAAAATCGGCGCCCATCCAACAAACCAATGCCTTACACAGTCGACTCTCGTTAATTCAAAATCTCTTAATTCAAACTTTCGGATAACTAAAACTAATGTGCAGGTCCCATCCTATGCGTCTCCATGGGAAGAAACTCCCGATAATTCAAACTTTGCTTTATTGAAACAAATTTTCGGCCCCCCTCGAGTTTGAATTAATGAGAGTCGACTGTAGATGGGTATGCACATCGTACGGTAGGCTCGCAATAATTCATACTTCCGGTTATTTCAAACAAATTTTTGAAATTTTTGTTGTCCCGCCACGTTTTTAATGTATTCAAAAGCCGCTTAATCCCAACGGCATTTTCGTGTAACTCATACTTTTTGTTCTCGCGGCCCAGATGAGTGTGTTCTTTCCGAGCACCAGTGCACTGCAGGAAGTAAAAACCCGCGGAGCTTGGTTTTGCAGGCGTCACTTCTCCACAGTGCACCGGTGCTCGGTGAGAAGCACACTCAACGGGGCTCAAGAAAAGCACCATGAGCTACGAAAATGCGGGAACCACACGGAACTTTCCGTAGCAACTTGCGCAGATGCCGCGACGTGGCGGCATGGCATAGGTCCACGTCTCGGCGTACACGCAAATTGCTACGAAAACTGCTGCGCAGTGCCCGTTTTCATCGCTCGTGTGTACTCCGCATAATAGTTCACCTTAGACAAGGTAGCAGGATTTAGCGAGGTAAGCAAGCACTTTGGCGCAGCAATCGCACCACTGCGTTACACTCCCCAGTCCACGAAGACTCTCGTTACCACGAAGTTAGCGTTCGTTCTCGTGAGCAGATATATTTGCACAATCCATTACTACAGTCAAGCCCGTATATAACGAACCTCAGGAAACGCTGCGATCAGTTCGATATAGTAAAAAAACATTTACATCGAACTTCCGCGATGAGTTCATTATAAGGCGAAGAGCTTGCCTTTGTTTCTCGTTTCAGTTTCGCCTTGCAACACGGCGCTGGAAAGATTTTTTTTTTTTCATGCGTGCAGAGTTTGTACGTTTTAGGATGAAAAGATTTTTTTTTTTGTCTGTGGGTGCGTGCAGAGTGTATTTTTTTTTTAGCTCCTCCCCTTCTGAATCGGTGATTCGCTCAATTCTGTTCGCAACTTGAGCTTTTGAAATTTTTTTTCTTTCATACTTCCTTTTTTTTGGGGAAGGGACAGGCTAGAAGACGATTGTCTGCGCACTTTTGGAAGCCTTCCCGGGGGCAAAAAGTTCGATATAGACAATAAGTTGTTCGCTAAAAAACTACTTTTTACACGCAATTTTATTTATATTTTCCGGGGGTTCGATATCGACACTATTTCGCTGCACGTGGGTTCGTTCTAAACGGGTTTCACTGTAGCAACATTCTTTTAGTCTTGGCGAAATTTGGCCTCACGAAGAAAGTTGGTTATGGTACATTAATCTCAAGCTCAGATGGAAAAAGCCAAGTCGATGCGGTCTGGAAAAATGCGACTGCATTTCCTGCGTTGGCATTTTCTAATAAACCCTCGCGGAGAATGCAACGGGGCAGTCGTCGGCCGTTCTGGCGGAGAAACCGAAGCGGACCCACTCACCCTGGCTCCCCTGGGGGGGCCCTTGGGGGGCCGGGGCCCCTGGTCCTCCTCGGGGGAGGCGACCCCCTCGCTGGCCGGGGGCTGCGGGGGGTGCGGGGCACTGCCCCCCCGCACGATGGTCGCCCGGCCCTTGGGAAGCACCCTGGCCGGCAGCTGGGGACGCACCTGGGCACGCGGGCACACCTCACGTCCCGTCCGAGCACTCCTTCGCCCGGCGTCGTCTGTCGCTTTGTACGTTGTGTCCCCAAAAATATTTACGGAGATTCGTTTCTTTCCCTAGTGGTCCGAACCGGATGCCAAAGTTTCGGAACGAAGTGTCGCCCTACAGTAAAAAACTGCAAAAGCGGCCACTTTGCACAAGCGCCCACTAGTATGAACATTTCTCGTACTTGCAAATTCTGCAAATTATACATGAAGCACCCAACCCCGCCAAAGCGCCGGCATCAGCCAAGAATACTCGCCCTGTCGCGGCGGCCACGAGACCGGGGGGGGGGGCAATGACGGGAATACTGCGCGAAAATAAATGCGCTTTCTCCGATTCCGCTTACCCTGCCTTTGAAGCTCTTGATTGGCCACCATCATGATTTTAACTCATTTGACGAAACAAATCTAGACTAACCCAGTTTTCAGTGAAACTGGGCTGGCCAACTCCCCGGTAGTTTACAGTAGTCAAAAGCAAGAAGCTACACATCGTGGAAAACCAGGAGACGACGGACGATGAAAAAGGGGACAGCACACAAAACACCTCAATTTTCCGTCATCCGTCCCGTCTCTGGTTTTGCTAAATTGTGTAACATCAACCAGCTCGCCTGCCTACTCACTCTATCTCCAAAAGTAAGAAGTGATTTTCTGAAAATTTCAAAGGGATAATGGGGTCCCTTGCATTCGCCGTAAGCGGTGCCATTCAGCTCTGTGCATTCGAGGACTCCCGGTTTTTTTTTTTTTTCCAATTCACATTTTCCGAACATTGCTTATAACATTTGACTAATATAATGGTTCTGAAATTTTGGGATCTAATTCGGACCACTAACGCTACATTTGGGCGGAGAATGAGCGTTCAGCAATGCAGAGGTTATTTTTGCAATAAAAAACAAAAAACCAAAATTTTTTGCGGGATTAATTTTTAGATATTTACCGAGAAGTACCCAGGGTAACAAACTGTTGATTCACACTCCGAACCTCGAAGGGTCCTTTTCAGTAGCTTTAATGCAGTTTTTGGGATCTCACCTCTGCAACAGTCCCAATCCTCAAAAAAATATCAGCGCGCAACCTTATCTAGAACCATTAAATTAAAGCCCGAATCACTCCCGACAAGAGATGAAAATCTCTTGTGCGTCTCGTCCGCGACGAGCCTCCGTCGCATGGCAGGCATTTTTACGCATGCGTTGAAACAAACGTGGAAAACAGTTTGTTCAATCGAATGATTCCATCATTCAGTTCTATTTTGTGAGAATGGAATACCTAGACCTTATTCAGATTTGTGCGCCATCTATCGGACGTTGTACCAATCCTCTTCCGTAGCCTCAAACGTGGCGACTCACTATTGAGGTTACGGGTAGAGCTCTGCCATTAGAAAGTAATGCCGCACTGCTGCCACGTCTCGCTGCACAATCGACGGAGAAATCGGACATTTACCGAAGTAAATACACGGATCGCATTGTTTTTCTTTTCAGTCCAATGTTTTTACGACGCCCTTCAAATAATCGTAGCATTTTACTGGGACTATCCAAGTGGCGAAATGACAAAGCCCGCTCCGACAGCTCCTAGCACAGGCTCCGTCATATTCTCTTAATGCAAGGGGAGATCGGTAAGTTTTGCTTCCTAGGCTCTAACTGTTATACTCGGTGGTGGAATTAAAAAATGTTAGTCACATCCAAGTTTGAGATCTCTTTCCCAGGAGAACAAAATATAAGCCCCACTGGCGGCGATGTGCTTCCAGTACCGGAAAACTACTCTGCATGCAGTAGTAGATGATTGAGGGCGACTGCTGACGACACCAACGGCGCACTCCATCGGTAATCACGTCAATGGACGCAAGGTCCGGGCCGTAAGGCGACCGAGGCAAAATCTCTTGGAACCGCAGCTCCTCCGGTGCGGCATCTTTCTTGTCAACAGCCACCCTCAATTGTCTACGATGGCACGCAGAGAGTAGTGCACCGAGAGCGAAACTGTATGGATGTCGAAGGGGACTACGTTGGAAAAGTTACGTGCTCCTGGGAAAAAGGAGATTCCAAACTTTCATTCGAATGCAACATCTTTTAATTCCGTCTTCGAATAAAACAGTTACATCGTAGGAGGCAAAATATATTGATTGCCCCCTCGTATACGAAGCTCCCCGTGGCTCTATTAATCGCTGGTGATGGCTGCATCGCTCCGTGTCGTTTGTGTCCACAGCAACCGAAACGATAGCAACGATAAAAATGTGGAGACAACTGCGACTCGACTCTTTCACGAGGCTAGTACTTCTTGCATTACTCGTCGGGCTGTGTGCGGCAAACATTTTTCCCCGGTGACTAGATTGTTGGTGTCGTTTGGGTCATTCTGAACAGAACCAATGCAGCTGTCTGGCCCAGACTCTCTCATATGATGCATTTTGAAATTCCGAACACCACTGCCGAGAGATGGAGCGAATGCCAAATGAGGTGTCTAGTCGAAACGGCATAAAGCACACCCCAGAAGAGCTTATTTTGGTTTGAACTAACCTAAATTGTCAAAATCAAGACCACGGCAAAACACGAGTCGGGGCAATCCGGATGAAAGTAACGAAAGTCCACGTCCATCCCAGAAATAAAAAGGAGCGCAGACATTCCCTCTTTCGGTTCTTGACACACGCAATATTTGCCGCGCTCGTCTCGGGGCCGTTCTGGACAAGCGAGCGGGACAGCAAATGCGCCCCTTGCAGGCGGACGAGAGATGGAGAGGCACCTTGTCCAGCTGGGCCGTGACCAGGCTCTTGGAGGACGCCTTGAGCCTAGAGGTGGCCCGGGCCATGGACTCGTAGCCCAGGTGCAGCATGCAGGGCAGCAGGAGCTCCTGGGCCGCCCGACGCACCTCCCCACTCCGGTCCTCCAGGCACTGGTACAGCTGGGGCAGGCAGGCCGCCAGCTCCGCCCCCGACACCGCCCCCCGGGCCACGCCTTCTTCCGCCAGCCGCCCTGCCAGCCAGCCAAACAGCTGCGGGGCACCCGGGGTCGGTCACGTCCCTCCAATGGGCTGCTTCGCTCTGTTGTACGCACTTTATGTGCGGAAACGACCCTCTACGGTACGACGACGAGCGTGTCTGTAACCGACCTGAGTGCCGCACATGTGCAGCCGACCGCAAGTCGAATCTTTTAAAGGTGCGGAACAAACCCTCTAGCTAAACAGACTCCAAATATTTGCCCGCAATGGACCCTGAGTGTAAAGTGCCACTGGGCCCCATTCCTATGTTCCCTGTCTGAAGCACCCAAAGACACTCTCACAAGCCTCGTCCAAACGAAGAGCTACGGACAAATAAAAAGCTAGCAATTCATTAGATATGAAGAGGAAGGCGAGGTTTCTTTTCTCCGGCATTTAGACGCATTACAGGTTGACCGCAATTTCACACAACTATTTTTGTCGAGACTCGATCGTGAAAATCTTCGAAGACTGGAACACTCGGTTTCAGTCGGGTCCCGCAAAACCTAATACTGCTATCGTAAAATAGTTTTTAATCATTGCGCAGATTAACGGTTCGCAAAGAACTCTAAAACTTCTCGTCGCACCAAAAGAATGCTCCATAGATCGAAAACTGAATTTTTATGAATAGGAAAGAGGATACCAACACCTAGCTCCCAGATCAAATCTCCGGTTTGCGGTCCAGATGCTCGTCGTACGACATAAAAGGAGGAACGCAGTGCTAGAAACACATTTCATAAGCCTAAACTTTACTCCGCCGGAGTTACGGGGCGCGAGTGTCGGCCCCGACGGCCGGGCAATGCGCACGCGTTGCGAGAGGGTTTGGTTACTGTTAAAAGGAATCCGGGGTCCCTCCGAGAGCCGCCCTTCGACTCGGACGGGACAATGCCTCTCGACCGGCGATGCGGAAAGGAGTCGCGATTGACACCGCACGCGCGTTCCGCTTCGGCGCCCTGCCGCGAGAGAATGCGGCGACGGCAACCGGGACGAAGCCACGGGGCTCGAAGGGCAGACGGTACGAAATCGAGAAGGTGGTCGTCCCGTCACGAGCCTAGTCCCCCTTCCCGGTTTGGTCATCCACAGGACCCTGCTGCCCATCTTACCTCGGACAAGACGCATCGGCTGGATTGTCCTTCCGAGGAGAAAAGTGAAGAACAGACGAGAGAGAGACACTAGCCTCGCGTAAGTCTTTTTTCCCAAAAAGTAGCGCTTGCAACCAACCTGCTTCCTACCTGCGGGGATTGAAGCCGTCTCTGATTCGTCGACGAAAGAACTTGTACAAAGAGCTACGCAAACATTCGAGCGGGTCGGTCGACTTTGTTCTTTTACCCGAGCCCCGCGTCAATTGCCACCGTCCCGTCCGCCGCGCCAGGCACGCTCATTCGTCACATACTTTGTGGAAGTATGCGGCGTCCTTTACTGATGCCCAAAAGTTAAACCGAGATATATATATATAGTTCTCGAGCTCCCGTACAGTTAGAAACAAGGGCAACAGGCATATCGATGCTTACAGGTACTCTGCGAATGTTCTTCAATTCTCTTGTGTAAGAGCTATGGACAATCGGAATATTTTGAACAATAGCATCGTCAATTGCCCGAGCGCACTTTTACTTTTTGCAAAAACCTTGCCCCAAATTTATTGTCCTAACGTCCGCGTATTATGATCGTGCATTCTTGGTAATCTTTACCCACTCCTGCCTCGGCCTGTCAATGGCTGGCCGCACAAAATAAATTTTTTAATTTCGCAATCTTCAAAGCGAGCTACCGGCAGCAGTTAGAACTCAAAAAGGAACGTTCCGTGGCGCATACGGGGCGTTGACCGGAAGACTCGCCTCTGTGCGCAGCAGGGGGTTCTCGGTCTTCAGGGCATCCTTCATCATCTCGTTGTCAAAGAAGGCACCCAGCTTCACGTGCAACGCCCACTCGTTGAGGCACGCCAGGCCCGCCGCTCGCACCAACGGCTGCAACGCAATGGGGCGCCCGGCTCCATCAGCCCTCCCAGGAACCGGACCAAATGTGGCCAACAATTCCACCACCACACAGGTACCTTCAGCTAAGAGACTCTTTGTGGCAAATCAATTCACGATCCTCCATGGGGGGGAGTTTGCTCGCGACTCAAGAACAAGGGCCCATCTGCCAATAGTGAAGGGACCTACGTTAAAAGTACCTTTACACTGGCCGCGTGATCTCATCAGCAGTACAAGAATCCGATTCTGTCTAATCACAGCAGCCACCATCCTACTCCTTTGCAAATTTTTCTCGCGACTTTAGCACTTGACATTGCCAACGTCATTTGGAATTTAGACAATGTCGGCAATCAACCAGCCAGCACAGTTGACGAAAACTTCCGAGTGAATGCGGGCATTCACTTCGAATTTCACAGTAGATATGCAGCAGAATACCTGGACACTGCAACTGTGACAACAGAATTTACAAAAAGTAATTTATTTTATGTTATCATTGCCCTATTTTCCGCCTTTTATTTCGAGAATATTTTAACCCCTGTTTTAGAAACAACCACAAACTAAAAAAAAAATGCCACAGTTGCATTGCCCATTGAATTCCAGTTAGGAAAAAACAGTGAGTGAGCCTTTCCTTTTGTGCCGTTACCAAACAATAGTTTTCCTCGAGTGCAATTTATGGGAAAATATGGAATTGAGAAAAACGCATTCAAAGTGTTCGAACCCCCACCTTTTCTTTACCACCCGGTGGACCGAAAATATTTTATAAAATAACTTAGACAGTGTAACAATTGCAACTTTCTGGGAATACTCTAGATGTTGGCAGATGTAAATATGGCATTTTTCAAAACCAAGTTTGCAGACTTTTTTTTTTTTTTTTTCTTAAAGGAGCACTGACACTACAAAAGGCAAACGGCACCAAAGAATTAGTTCCAAAACAAACACGGTTTGTGCACTCTTGCGCCCCGCCATGGTGCAACACCAATGCCCGGAAGTGGCAACAAGGGCCCACCTTGGTGTCCCCGAGTGCGGCCAGCATGCCGGGTGCCAGGACCACCACGTGGGGGGCGCAGTGGGGGCCCAGGGCCGCCCCCAGGCGCTGGCAGATGTTCAGGGCCTGGATCGCCTGGAGAGAGACGTCAATGCACCGCACAATCAGCTCCGGCAGAAGCTTCGGCTTTCCGTCGGCGGTTATGGAAGCACCTGCGAACGTGCTTCAAGCGTCTTCTAAGCACACTTCTTGCATTGGTACGCTTCCAACACGTCTGCAAACATTTTTAGTATCACCAATGTGAAAGAAAGAAACAAGCCTCAGACTGAGGTGGACTTAGCATGTTGCCACCTCAGGCAGCCTTTAACAGTGTCCATGGGGAGCGGGGGCTGGTTGGTTCAGGGGGGAAGAGCAAAGTTTGGAGCTAAAAGTTTCCAAAGTTGCTGGCTTCGGAGCTAGGATTCCTAAAGTAGCTAAATTCGGAGCTAGAAAAAGAGTCTAATTTAAGAGCAGCCCAAAATCCTGTCGCCCTAGGCAGTTGCCCACTCGTGTCTATCGGCAAGTCCGCACCCGGCTTTTGTATATCGCGAGCAGGGCTTAAGAAAACTCCGCCCGGACTAGTTTCCCCATCCGGTTGCTGTGGCGTCCCCTCCGAGCTTTCTGGTCGCCGGAACTATGGTCGAAGACCACACCCGAGTGTCAACGGCTCTGACGGCGGCAGGAAGAACGCTTTTTTGCTGTCTCAAACGACCGTAGCGCTCGTTAGAAAAAAGAAATCTCTAGTAGTTGCAAAATAAATCTTGTATTGTGGGAGAACCTCGCCGATACATTTTGTGGGGGGTCGCGATAAAATAATGTACAATCCGGGAAAACGTAACCGTTAAAGCTTTTGGCGGTCTATCCGCAACTTTAACCCGCCACACACCCTCTCGCGGATGAACGAAAAATTGGAGGCGGAGGGGACTGTCGATGGTTCTGATCGGAAGAACCCAGAAGCGTAGCAGTAGTAGTCAACAGGAAAACCCATTCCTTCCACTCGCTGGGGTTCAAAAAGTCTTAACTTCGGAGGCAGCTGGATACCTGCGGCGCAGAACTGCGTAGGCTTAGCGTCTTCGTCCACCATGGCGGGCGTTCCAGGATGCGCCCCTTCAACACGGTGCGCCCCTTCAACGGCTCACTCGTCCGGAACCCAAGTGTTTTATATTATCACTTCCAATGAACTGAAGATAACTAAGAACATGTGCACTCGCAAGGACGGAAGTATGCATCCCTGCGGGGCACGCGAGTGGAAACTGTTGAGTCATCACTACATTCATTGCATTCCGTTCCAAAACAGGATCACACGAAGGTAGCTAGACATGTAATTTCATTAGGAATATTTCGTGGGCCAGACTTCGCGGATTGCGGGTCCCGCAATCCGCGAAGCATAGTTGGCGGAGACCGGAAAAACCACAGCATAAGCAACAAAACTCAAAAATAATGAAACAAAAAATATGGAAAAGCAAGGCACATAAAAAAAGATAAACAAGAAACAAAAAAAGTGAAAGCCGTTTACAACTCCCTGTAACACCGAATTAGAGCGCAGCTCTTGAGGAGGAGGGGGAGGGAAGGGTACTGGGGGGGTGAAGTGACCTGGGGGGTCGCGTGACCTTGGGGGGTCACGTGACGATGCCGATGATGTCATCAGTGATGTCATCAGTGACGTCACTGATGACGTCATCAGTGACGATGACGATGCGGACTCCGATGACGTCATCAGCGATGATAACGATGACGATGTCGGTGACGTCATCAGTGACGTCACTGATGACGTCATCTGTGATGATGACGAGGACGATGCGGATGCCCCCTCCCCCCCCCCCCCCCCCCCGAAGTCACGTGACACCCCCCAGGTCACGTGACCACCCTCTGGGTCACGTGACCCCCCGCCGAGGTCACGTGACCTCCCCGATGACGTCAACGTCACTGATGACGTCACCGGCATCCGCATCGTCATCATCACTGATGACGTCATCAGTGACGTCACTGATGACCTCACCGGCATCCGCATCGTCATCATCACTGATGACGTCACCGGCATCCGCATCGTCATCACTGATGACGTCACCGGCATCCGCATCGTCATCACTGATGACGTCATCAGTGACGATGACGTCATTGGGGAGGTCACGTGACTTCGGGGGGGGGGGGGGGGGGGGGGGGGGTCACGTGACTTTGGGGGTCACGTGACCTTGAGTAACCTTGGGGGCCACGTGACCTTGGGATGACCTTCGTTACGCCGACGCCGCTGAAGTTGGGAACGGGCCCCTAAGAGCTGCACTCTAAAAAAAAAAAGCTCACTAAATTCGCCCAGCAAAAAAAAAGAAAGGCAAAGGAAAAAGAAAATGGGCAAGGCAGTAACGGCAAAAGGAAAAGGTAAACAAAGATAAGGCGTTCAGAGTGTAATTTCACAACTGGTGTTGTCGACACACTTCAGTGGCGTAGGCAGGGCACCGAGGGAGTCAAACTTTCGGGGGTCGAAACTTTTCCCGAAATGCCGAAGCTACCCCCCCCCCCCCCCCCCCCAGATGCCCACGTTGGGCCGACTCGCTACCCAGCTCACGCAGTCAGTCTTGCACGGGGCACGAAGCAAAAGGCGGACTATCTCCAACTTACTTGCTTTCGGGACGAATGTTTGTGGGGTAGAAAATGCTCAAATAAACAAAACAGTCCATATTTCTTCATTTATGCTTATTTTGTGGAATGCGGAACTTGATCTCAGATATATAGAAAATTGATTTTTCGAAACATTTGTGGGGTGAAGGATGGCAATTTTAAGGAAAAATATAACAAACTATCCTCATTGAAATACATACAAGTTAAATCAAACTAAAGTGGACATAATAAGACGCACACATGGTGATAATATAAAACAGTCAGTGATGTAAGGAATATTAAATGAATTGTAAAAACAATGGCGCTGCAAGCAACGGGTGGCACAGCACACCTTGTGTTCTGACCAGGATTACGTGCTTTCGACTAGAAATTACCACGAATAAAAAGTAAGTGTGACTAGTTATTTCAGAAAGCAATTTACAAGCTCTCTTGGTCATTTCCATTTACGCCAAGTGCCTACATATTAAGATGCAGCCGCCTGCGTTGATGGCAAAGAATATGCAGGACGTCCTCCGCTTGAAGTTCAATGTCGCGGTGAACATTCAAAAGCACTTGACCGAGCAGTATTCAAAGTGGGCACTCTCTGGTATGTTTCCAACCGTCGTAGTGAAGAGAACGAGCGCTCAGCTTCTGCTGTTGTTACGGGCAGAGTCAGCAGGATCTTGAGGAGACTATGGACGTTTGGGGATAGGGCCTTCGAACAGAGGGCGACCGCCTGTAGCGCAGCCATGACGGGCGCCTCACATTTCTCCCTCTTTAACTGGACACCTAAAATTTCCCTATTTTCGGCGAAGTTTCCCTCACTTCGTGAAATTTCCCTCCATCGAGACGCCTGTCTCGATGGTCGCTCACGGATGCGATCAAGTCCGTCTTGCTTTCTGCTTTGCAAGTTGATGTGGCATCCGATGCAATTCGTTATTAGATTAATCTTTTCATTGCACGGAACAGCAGAAACCCCGAAGGGCCTTTATATTCTCACTACGCATAAGCGCAAGGGTATTCAAGTTCGTTGCCACGTTCGGCGTGTGGTTTGTGTGTCTTGTGTGATGCCCTTTCTCCGAGTGACGGAACGGCGACTTCGGACTGATGGCTTCTCATCACCCCGAGGATATGCCGCAGCTGCCTTTGGACAGAACTGCAAGATAAAGCATCCTAGCAAAAATAAGACTCTTTCCTTCAGCACCTTGTTAAAACTTTATTAAATATAAATAGATTTTGGTTTTGTGATTGTTCAAAATTATCCTCGCCCTATATATGGGCCCCTAGTATTTGTGCGAGGACAACTCCAAATTTTCAGCGTCGAGATTTTTTTTTTTTTTTTGCTGCTTAATTTTTTGTGCCAGTATACACGTTTGCAAGTCCGGTCTCAGGGCGCCGCCATCTTCCTCAGTGGGGTGCGCTCTCGGGAGCGGCCATAATCCGATTACGACGCCTTAGCAAGGCTTCGTAATCGGATTATGACTGGTCCAAGCACACCCCAGACAGGCAAGATGGCAGCGCCCTGAAGCCGGACTTGCAAACGTGTATAGCCTACCGGTAACAGCCAGGCTGCGCCAGAGGAGTGAGAGCCCAAGGATATACCCTGCCTCGGTGTAACTTGGCAAAAGGTGAACGATAAGCTCCCCATTGCGTGCCATGGGATTCAATATCTGCTACTGGAGCATGACACAGCGAAAAGCACGATACTTCTTCGCAGTAAAAGTGCACTTTGGTGATGCGTAGTCAGATTCCGATTGGCCTGCCAGACCACAGCTTCCGCCGCACTTGCATGTTATGCGATCATGGCTTCCTGGCCTACCAATTATTTCTTGCTTCAGTCACTAGATAGCGCCAAACCAAGCAGCATTGGACGTTGCCTATAGACCAGTGTCCGAAATCCTAGCCACCACCAATTAATCTCGAGCACAGGCTCTTGTGAAGAAAAGGGCTGCGCATAAAACAAGGTTTTTGCTCGTTACAGCACTCTTGGCATTGGTGTTGTTCTTGGAGCTTCGTGACTATGCTTTTCTGACGTTCTTGCACTACAATAGATCCGAAGGATTTAAAAAAACAAAAAAACTGAGTCTCGCAAAAAGCGCAACCCCCCCCCCCCTCCCTTTTTAATGTATCATTGCGTCAGCATGAACAAACATGCGGCACCAATTGAACATAGTAAACACTGGTTTATAGGTATCCTTGTGTTTTGTCTGACCTCCACTTGTTGGTAGTGCAGTGGTACCTCAAAAAGCGGGAGGAGTTGGACGCTGCGAGGAAGCTTTTAAAGTTGGTGGGCCGCAACTACGACGACAGTAGAACAGTGAGCCACCACGACTGTATTCCTGTAAATGAAGCCTGCTCCATTTTCAGAAATGACAATGCAGCTTTTTCCGTTTTATCTTAACAGCGCCTCACTAATCTTTGCGCGAGTGTGTGTTCCGTTGAACTCACCCTGCTTCGTCATGGGGGGGATTTGTGTTACTGGACCCCCCAAAACCCCAAAA